TGGAAATTTGGTGAGGTGTTTCACTCGCTTGTCTGTTTCACTCGCTTATCATGCACGTTATATAATATAGAGTAATTATGTAGTCAATCCGGGCCCAAAGCCCACATCGCACGGTGATCGCATCCAGATGACGTGGGAATTACGTCTTTCCGCTGTCAATGTCAAACACCTCGCAATGTGATGTGATGTGATCATCTGAACTCATCAAGGGGGTACCTAGACGTCCGAATCAAACTTGACTCCTGGCTCTTTCACTTCTCAGCTCGCGACACTGCATCCTATCATCTACAGGAATTAATTGATGTGTGCGGTGGTCCAAACGAGGCCCATCGTCAGGGTTTAAAGGAGACAAGGGGATTGAGACTGAGACTGCAGACACACAGGCAATATATACAGATGATGCGTCCTATTCTCGGTCTCCGTTTCTCTGCTGGCGGCGGGGCCGGCAGCGCTACGGTTCGGGTTCAGGGTCGGCGGGAGATGGAGATGAAGATGATGTCGAGGTTGTTATGGTCGCCACAGACACGGCTACAGCCACGACCACGACCACAGGCACCTGGCAGCCCTAAGGGGTGTGTGCCTCACTCTCCATCTCAATCACGGCGCTTATCCGCCATCGCGAACCCTAACCCTCACCCCCAGCCTCGCCCCAAAGCGAGACCGAACCAGATCCAGATCCAGATCCAAAAAGCACAGCAGAAAGTCCAATTACATTCCCATTCCCATTCCCATAGTCCGCAAGCAGAGCAGAAAATCCAATCAACCCAAGCGACCCAGGATAAAAGATCAGCCCAGCAGAACCGCCACCACATCGACCGCCAGTCCGACGAGGTATCCAAATCCGGCACCGACGACGCCGTGGCCGCGCAGACGTCGGTGGCCTTTGACTCCGACCACACGAGCGATTCCAACTCCAACTCCCACTCTCACTCTGACATCGACCAAGCGCGCACGCTCTCCGGTCACCAGAACGCCTGGTCGAATCCCCTAGATGCCAGTCCTGCCAACAGGAGCCTCAGCAGGGGTACGGACGAGGTGGAGAGTGGTGGTGGTGGAGGAGGAGGAGGAGGGGGAGGAGGAGGTGGCAGTGGTGGCGGCGGTGACACTAACAATAAGGACACGACCGTTTCTCGAAGCAAGTCGACATCGAAACATGGGGTAGCCGGAGCTGAGAAGAAGGCGTTTGCTGGCTCGGCTGGGCCGGCGAAGGAACCGGAGAGGCCGGCTTTGGTCAGGCCGGGAGCGAGGTGAATTGAATGGTCACAACCTACGTATGTACCTACCTATGTATGTAGCTGTATATAGTAGGGGGTAACTCAATACCTACTGACCCACCTGTATATAGTAAGGGGGTACTCAATACCTACTTACCTACCTGTATATAGTAAGGGGGTACTCAATACCTACCTATGTACCTGAATATAGAAAAAGGGTGAGTGGGAGGACGAACGAATACTTACTACCTACCTACCCGTATACCTGTACATATATAGTAAGGTGGTGACTGGGAAGAGGAAAGAATTGTAAACGTGCCATGTTATCTATCAAAGGGTCGCAGTGGGAGCGCATGCTATATAGTATACATAGGTAGCATGCCTAAACCAGCCTTCTGGTTAAAGCTTAAAGCACAAGGCTGGGAATGCCTAAGTTAGTGCCCCTAAGCCTAGGTTTGAGAAAAATACTATGTACGTACGTACGTACGTACCTACCTACCTAATTGTAGCCAAGGGGTAATTGGTGACTGGTGACTGGCGAGATGGAAAGCAAGACCAGCTATCCGGATGGGATGACTTCCCTCATCCCTACCCAGGACCAAAGGAAATGTCCATCGGCGAAGGGAAGGGAATGACTGACCAGTCAGTATCAGCATCAGTATCGTATCTGGGGACGAAGCCTGAAAATGAAAATCAAGGCAGGGATGATTCGTTTCTTCGATGAAGCTGGTCGCGTCGACACGATATCAATATCAATATCTGTACATTATCAAGTACCTTCAACCTTTACGATCCGGTTCAACTGCGAATGATGTATCATTAGGATCTGTTATTTGGGTCCCTCCGTCTATATAGTCACGCCTTCAACTCGTTTGAATCTAGAAGCTGCTGATCCATACCGGCGTTCACTTGTCTTTTCCACGATGAAATCGTATTTCTAGGACTGATGCTCGACCGGCGTGAGCCATTGAAGGGTTGTCTTGTCTTGTTGTCGGTGCTGGATTTGGAGAACCCTTTTCACTTCTTTTGGGACCTCTGCTATGGAAAGAAACAAAAGTTAGGGATCATCTTGATTCAACCAAGCTGAAGTATGAGAGGCTGACTGACCAGAAAAAGATTGAGCCATCGGCTGCTCCGCCTCGACCTTGTTTGGCACAATTCGATACAGGAGATCTTTCGCGTATGCGGCTGCGGCCATCGCTGCGTAGCCTTGCCATTGCTCGTTCTTATGTGAGTCCGAGTAGTTGCATATGCCGCAAATAACCAGGCAGGGGAAGTGATTCATCAACCCTGCTGCTTGAGTCTCAAAACAAAGAAATCCCTGTCGTGCCGCCTTCTCCCGAATCGTGGCGTCCTTCATTATCCGGTTTGCCGAAGCAATCAGCCCGTAGTGGATTGTAGGGTCATCGTCCTCCTTGGTCCTGGGGGTCCGGGAGACCAGATTTGAGGGGTCCTGACCACAGGCTTCAACACAGTCTCTTTCGTCGCTCAGAGGGTGAACAACGGCGTCCCGATACAGTCGGTCAGTACTCGGATCTGGTCGCTTATAGTTTTTACGCAGTCTAGTGTTCTTTTCGAGTGCGTCATTGATGGCCTCCTGAATCGAATGGCCATTGATCTCATATTGGGCTCTCAGTCCAACTACTGCTGTTCGCAAAATCGTGGGTGGCTGATTCAAGAATCCCGTAGCTTGAAAGTCTTGATTCTGTCTCATTTTGCCGAAATCGTACTGCAGTACGCCGCCATTGCCATCTTGAGGAGCACTGACCACAATATCACCCAGACGAATATCATGCTTTGGGCCCGGAACACCGCCAGCAGTGCCCACCATCAGCCCGATCCGAACATTCGGGAAGCTGTGCATCATGTCTCTCGCGACCGTCGCTGCGGATTGTGTGCCATGCTCCCCGTCTGGCGCCACGGCGATGACCACATTATGTCTGCCAACTCTTCCGAGTGTGTAATCGTTGTTATCATGGACGGCCACATGTTCCGGACTCGCGTGCTTCTCATCGAGGAAAGCCTGCGCAGCGACGTAATCTTTAACTATGGCGCAGATCCAGCCCACGCTATAGTTCTGAGGATTTGACATCCTCGTAGTCGTGACTCAATGTTGAGATGCCCACGAAGAACGGATCGAGCTCGAGGAAGGGATGTTGTCAGGAAGGCTGGCCCTGTTCGACCACGTCTCGGCTCGTTCTTCCTCCCCGAGGGTGACGCAGACGAGCTTCAGAAGAGGCCGGGACAACTGTATGGTTACGACTGGACAGAAACAAGGGGAATGGGAATGTTCCCATCTGTGCAAAGACATGTTGACGGTGGACGTTCAAGGTAGATTGGACATTCCTTTAGGACAGAAGGCTGGCGACCGCTTCGAGGCCATGGAGGCCATGTTTCAGGCAGGCGCTATTTGCTGGCTTGAGGCTGTGATCATGTCTGCGAGGATGGCGCAGGGAGCAGCTATGTACCTAGTACGGAGTACGGAGTACAGCCTAGGGAAGAGTAGGTAAGAGCACCTAAGCCCTAGGGCCAGCGGCAATGCGAGGCGCTCGACGAGAACTAGGAACGTGAGTCGCGAATGAGAATGATAATCAGCGGCCACATCAAGCTCGCTTCTCTGCCTAGTACCTACCTAGCACCTACCTATAGGTGCCTAGCAGGTGCCTAGTACGGGAGTACATGTACCTCCTATGCCGTACCTACCTTAGTATGTACGTACCTAGATGTACGGAGTAGGTAGTACTAGGCTTTTTTCCCTCCTTAGTGTAGCACAAATACTAGCCTGGTTAGCCTTGTGGCGCAGTGATGGTTATGTCTTCAGCTGTACTCCGTACGGATACTCAGTACTCGGTAGAAATGGTAAGCTCCCGCCACTCTCTGAAAGGTAACGGTAACCACTGAATAGATGTCGATAGTCATTAGCTGTCAATAGGACCTATCTGTCCTTGTGTACTTCTGATTTCTAGGTGGATATGATGCACGGACGTGTTCGACCGCTATTCGGCCGAAGAGACGGACGACGAACGCGCGATGGGCGGACCACCACTTGGATAGACCTGGACTGCGACCAAAGATCAGACACCACTCTTCTAAAGCAGCATTGATCAAGGAAATGTCAAATACGAGACCATGCTGTGCTATACTATGCTCCACGGAGGACTACGGAAGGCTCCGGACCAAGAGCGTCTCAACAGAACAAGGCTCAACTACAGAAGAGAGTGAACAGAACACAGATCAGCTCCAGATGCATCGACAGAACGAAAGGCACCTTTAGAAAAGACCAAGGCTTAGGAGCCCCTAGCCCCAGCCCCTGCCCCTGCCCCTTCCAGTCCCATCCCGGATATTAAATGGCCACCATGCGCGCCTGGGTCTTCCGCTCTCGTGGCCGTCCTGCCCAAGTCCTGAGCCTCGCCACGCAGCTCCCCCGACCAACCGCGGCGTCTCTGGGTCCTCACGATGTGCTCGTCAAGGTCAAATACTCGGCACTGTTCCAAGGCACGGCGATGATGATGGGTCAAATCCCGCACTTCAACAACAAGCCCTGGGTGGCCGAGGGCACCTTCTCCGGCATCGTCGAGGCGGTCGGGAGCCAAGTTGACCATCTGCATCTACAGGCCGACGACGAGGTGTTTGGCGGCCTGGCGCCACCCGTCATGCTCAAGTACGGCGGCACACTGGCCGAGTATATCGTGGTCCCCGACGAATCTGTAGTGCGGAAGCCGCCAAACTTGTCGTTCGAAGGCGCCGGCGGCATCGCTTCCAATGCAGTCACGGCGTACCAGTTTGTCCAAGTCGCGGCACTGCAACAGGGGAGCCGTGTCTTGATCACGGGCGCCTCGTCCGGTACAGGGTCGATTGTGGTGCAGGCGGCCCGGGCGGCAGTGGGTAACGACGGGCTGGTGGTTGGGACTTGCTCGGCGGCGAATGAGGAGTTGGTCAAGTCTTTGGGTGTGCATGAAGTGAGTTTTGTTTTGTATTTGCATATGAGAGGAGAGATTCATGCCATTGAGATTCATACAAGGAAGGAATCCCATGTCTGATCTTGTTTCTAGGTCATCGACTACACCAAGCACGCCGTGCTCCATTCCCATCTGGCCGAGAAATACAGTGCGAAACCCTTCGACGCCATCATCGACATTGTAGGCGGAGACTGGGCTCTCTACACCCAGTCCCCAGCCTATCTCAAACCCGACGGCATCTTTGTTTTCGGAGGCAACATGTCCATCGTCCACGGCGGAGCGAGTTTCCTGTCTGTTCTAGCCTGGGCGCTGAGCATTAGAATTGCCAGCAGGCGGCCGGTGATCCTGGGTGGCGTACCACGCAAATGCCTCCTCCATCAAGGCCAGATCAACCTAGAAAGCCTGGGCAAGGCGGCCGGCCTGATCGCCGAGGGTAAGCTGAAGCCGGTGATTGACAGTGTGTACGAGATGGAAGATGTGTTACAGGTACGGTCTTGTCTTGCTCTGTCTTTCGCCCTTACTTGACTTCTTTTCTTGGTCTTGTCTTGCTCTGTCTCTCTACTCTTCCTTGACTTCTTTTCTTGGTCTTGCTCTGTCCCGTCTTTCCGCCCTTCCTTGACTTCTTCACTTTGGCCGTAGACTTGGACATCGATCTAACTTGATGGAAACCACAATAGGGCTATGAGAAACTCGTCAGTCGCCGAGCAAGAGGAAAGGTGATTGTGCATGTGCAGGATTAGTGGGAGGATGGCGGGTAGTAGGACCATCAGGACCTTCCCAGCCTTATTCTTTAACTAGAAGGCTGGTACGGAGTATAGGTATTAGGCACACCTATGTATATAGTCTGGACTCCCCCCATACCACTTTGATACCTAGCGAACATGGAAAATTTCAACCTTTGAAGATACCGTGGCACACTGAATGGACTAGTTGGTGGCCCGGCGAAGATGAAGAAGAAGTCTAGGGTTAGGGTTAGGGTTACTAGTGCTAATACTTTAGCCACCTATTCATTTAGATCCAGTCAATCACTGTGATGGATTTCGGATCTCCTATCGCATGTCGTAATTATAAGTGTTGCTTTTGTCAGGTTCTAATTTCCAATAGGTGTCACTATAAATACTACTACGGTCTACCCCTTACCAGGCCTTACTAAGCCTTACTAAGCAGGCTGTTATTTATGATATTTCAACATCGTATCTCCCATCTTCCCTCTTTACTCTTATATTTCTGCCTCCTCCACACTTCAGATCACGCTTCGTCGTATCACCATCGACGACGACGACAGCGACACTTCTTCTTCATCTGTACCTCCTAGTGTCCAAACACTAAGCCCTAAGGGTCCAAACCTAATCATCAGTCCGTCTGTTCTGCCATAACCTGATCTGGTGGACAGAAGGCCGCCCAGCCGACAATCTCATCGTTCTTGTTCTCGTCAGTACACGCCAATAATAGCCAGATTGGCCAACTTGTATCTCAGCCATCCATCACCATTACCATCACCATCGCCATCGCCCTCACTTCAAGTGGCTTCTACTTTGCTTCCACTTAGCCACCAGAAGGTCTTATTCCCATCTCGCAGCGTCAGTGACAATGCCAACCTCACCTTCCCTACCAGACGGCTTCGTCAAGAGCTGGCCGAAGCTCCTATTGCGCGTAGAAGGCGCCTGCATCTTCGGCTCGACCATCTGGGCCTACTCGCGATCCAACCAGTCATGGTGGACATTTGCAGGTCTTCTGCTGCTCCCGGATCTCGGCATGGCAGGCTACCTGGCCAACACCGAGGCCGGGGCCGCCATCTACAATTCATTCCATACGGAAACCCCTCCGATCCTGCTGCTGTGCGCGGGATTGGCGCGCGACAGTAAGGCCGTGGCGGGGTTGGCGCTGTGTTGGCTCGCGCATATCGGCATGGATCGTATGTTGGGCTATGGATTGAAATATGGGACTGGGTTCGGCCACACTCATCTAGGCGAAATTGGTTTTCCGGGCGGAAAGGATGTCGAGACATCTCAGTAGCTGGCTTGGTCCTCAAATCATACGCCTAGGCCAGATTGATTTACCGGGCGGAAAGGGTGTCGAGACATCTCAGTAGCGTAGTTGGCCTGATCTTCATACGCCTTGTCTGGTCCTACTCCTACTGCACGGTCATACGTCTTGTCTAGTCCTCGTATCATACCCCTAGCCTACTCCTGCTCCTACTACGAGGCAATACGCCTCGCCTACTCATAGATAGGCACTGTCACTCGGCTACTTTAAATAATCAAATATCGATTCGAATACAGCCAGGACCAGGAGCCGGTGTATCCCTCTTCCACCACTCAACCGATAATCAAATATCGAATCGAATACAGCCAGGGGCCAGTGGCCTCTTCCACACTTCAGCACGTATAGTACCAGTTCGCCAGACCCTCGTTCAGCCGCTTCCCGGCTTTGGCGGCCCTATTGACCTTGAGGAAGTAGAGGTCCATGATTGTGATCATGGCGACACTGGTAAGACTGATTCCTAGGGTGGTGAACACGCCGGTCTGGGGAGACAGTCAAGGAGAGTCAAGTCAGCATAGCGTCTTGGGGTCGAGTTTGTGCAGAGAAGAGAAGATTTGATCTGGAAAGGGGAGAGAGAAGAGACAAAGGGAACAGAGGGGACAGAGAAGAGAGAGAGGAGAGAGGAGAGGAGACAAAGGATAGAGTCGAGAGAAAAGACAGAGGAGACGAGAGACAAGATAAAGTGGACGGAACCACCGTGAACGTACCGTATACTTTGGACTCTCGGACGATTTAAACGCCACGCCGGCAATGATCCCCCCCAGACCACCGCCCATCATGCACGTCGCAGTTGCGACGGAACGCTTGGATCGGCGAGTGATGTTGTTGGCCTGGTAGGTCAAGACGCCGGGGACGCAGTATTGGAGGAAGCCGATGCCTGGGAAAACAGGGAAAAGATAATGTTAGCCAGGACCAGGTTGATCAGCGGCAAGAGTTATGTCGAGATGTGACGCGTGTCGAGATGTGACATGCTGATGAGGGATCGGAATATTCAACGATAAGAAAGGCAATGTTGGGTAGAGAAGGCAAGATTCCAGAAGAGAGAAGGCAAGATTCAAGGGTAAAGTTTCAAGGGTAAAGATGAGAGAAGGCAAGATATAAGGCCAAAGATGACAGAAGACAGAAGACAAGATTCAACGGACACGTGAGAAAACAAGGAAAACAAGGCAAGCTTGAAAACAAGGCTTTTTTGTGGTCATACATACCAAGAAATGCACCGAAATACCGTGCCCCGTTCGGTTTGGCAAATGCAGTGATGAGCATCCCAGCAGCAGTCAGCAGCTGATGGACGGCAATGATGGGCCCCCGGATACGGTACTTGTCACCCAGCCAGCCGGAGGTGAAGGCGACGATGGCGGCCAGGACATAAGGCGGGGCGCTCAGCAGCTGGCTGTCGGTGGCGCTGAAGCCCATGCCGTCGCGCAGGATGATGGGCAGGAAGTACGAGTAGGCGTAGCCGGGGAGGGTCGAGGCCATGAGGTTGAAGGCCCAGAAATACAGCTTCCAGTCTTTCAGGTGGTGCAGGATCACGGCGACGTTGATCGGGTCCTCCTCGGCGTCGCCGCGGTCGGCGTTGATCCGTTCGATCACGAACCTCTTCTCTTCCGCCGTTAGGAATCTGTCGGCTTTGGTGGGGAAGTCGATGATGATGAACCATCCGCCAACACAGACTGCCATGGTGATGATGCCTTCGATGATGAAGATCCCTACAGGTTTGGGGGTCAGTGTTTGGATTGGATTGGTTTGAGTCAGGATCAAGGTCGGTCAGGATCAGGGATTCTTAGGATCACGATCAGAGCCACAGGTTGACACCAGCAGTCATACAGACAGTGCCACTGCCGATGGCACTGCCAGGTCAAACTTACACGACCATCCATTCAGCCCCGCCCGGCCGTGCAGCAGGGAGAGCACGTAGGCGAAGATAGAAGCAAAGCCTGAGGTCAGACACGACAGGATCCAGAACAACGACAGCCGCTTTCCCACTTCGTACCGGCGATACCAGCACGTAATCAAATACGTGCAGCCTGAGCAGACCAGACCGAGAGATATGTCAGCAGCGGATCGAATCGCATCAGATCAGATCATGAGGGTGTCAATGAGGCTAGGCTGGGATAGATAGATTGTCGAGGGAAAGGGGAAAGAGGCCTAAGCTCCTCTCAGAGGGGATGGATTGGTGATGAGAGTTCAAGATTTCTTCAATGTGATGAAAGTTCAAGTCTTCTTTGGCGTGACTCAGATATGCATATGCATCCCCATCTGCAGGGCAGGCTTACCAGGCAAGAAACCAGCTTCAGTGATTCCCAGCAGCGCTCTGCACAGAGCCATCATGCCCCAGTTTTTGACGAATCCCATGCCGATGAGGACCGCGCCGAACGAGGCCCCCAAGAAGGCAAGCCAGTTCGCCGCTCCGGCTTTGGGTAGCACCAGATTCTACATCATGGCATGTATGGTCAGCAGCAGGGACAGAATGGGATGGGACAGAATGGGATGGGACACATGAGCTTGGAAGAGTCGAGGTGGGATGGGATACATGAACTTGAAGGAGTCGAGGTGGGATGGAATAGAATAGTCGGACCCAAACCCAGAACAGGGAGAGGGAGAAGCAAAGGGAGACCAACACTGGGGATTTCAAACACAATATATGCCACAAAAAAAATCATGACCAGAATGGTGTAGCGAGACCCCTCGGCCAGGCCGAGATCCTCTGACATGCCCGCCACCATGGCCAGGCCCATGTTGGTCCGATCGGCCAAGGAGATGGAATACATGAGGCCGAGAATGGGAAGTAAGCGGACATCGATTCGGCGTCTGTTGGGTGTCAATAGAGTCTTCCTGTAAGTGTATATGTTGCACTGGGATCTTGCCATCTTGGATCTTGGATCTTGGGTATACATACATGATCTTCTTCTCCCTCTCCGGCCCCAGGCCGCTCTGGTAGACATCACCATCACCATCAGCAACTCTGTCACGGTGTTCTCCCTCATGAGTCACTGTCACTGTCTCTTCATGCACTCCTAGAGCCTGCTCCTTGAGATAGTCTGAGTCTGTTTCTGCCATTGTGACCGCGAGGGTGGGGTGCTGTGCTATCAACAGAGTACGCCAAGGGGACGGGCGACGGGCGAGGGAACGGATACGGAGGCTTCCAAGTCAAAGAAGACAGAGGTCAAGAAGTCAAGAAGTCAAGAGATCAAGAAGAAGAAGTCAACTACCTCCGCCAAGTAGTCCCCAAGCCCGCAAGGGAGGGGGGGGGTTTATATACCTAGGTACATATACCTCCATATCATGTATCATGTACCTGGATGGACACTGGACCTGCCCTGTCCGGACCGCATGACGGACTCAGATGGAGGCAGAGTCCTTAGCCCCCAGATTTGGGGATGGAGATGGGGATGGGGATGGTGATTGTGCCCCCTCCTGACGACAAAGACAAAGCCGCAGTGGATGGCCAAGAGTCCAAGACGTACAGCCCAGCCCTTCCAACCGAGAGAGAGATGCGAACCCCGAGTCCAGATGCCGCACTGTCTCCCAACTAGGAACTGAGGCTGGCGAGGCTGGACTGTCTGAGTCAGGCGTGGGCTCCCTCTCACCAATCAATAATAGCAAGGCATGGCCTGCATGTCTTGAACTACGGTCTATATATTTCGCCCGAGGCTGCCTCCGCACTCGACGGACAAACACCTCGGCTCGGCCCTGTGGGAATGGAGTGGACGAGTAGGCTGTAGGTAGATAGTGGAACATGGGGAACATGGGGGAACATGGAGAATTCTCCAGCTTGGAGTCACTGCCACACCGACTTTCGCCATGGATATATTTACCGAGCATGGGCCACGACAACTTCGTAGTCCTGCCGGTGAATGTTTTGGTTCTTTCACCCCAGATGGTCGGACTCAGCAATGGGCAGACGGTCTATATATTCATGGTAGATACAGCTAGCTGTCTCTGCTTTCTTTATGGAGATTGAGTGAGATTCTTTCCTACTTCTGCATTTACTAGAGAACGGAGATAATCCCTGCCACACGTTGACAGCCATATATGTATCTAGTGGTAGTATCGAACATCAAGCACGGGGAGAAGGGGATGTTCCCGCCACGGCATCAGCCTCAACTTCGACCACACGAAGTATACAGTAGACAGCAGCTCAACCTCAGCCCAGTATCTTCTACATCTAGAACGTATAGCGGAATCCCGGGAGGCCCTCAATGACCCTGTGAGTCTTGTCTGCGTTTCGATTGGCCCACCGGATATAGACCATCATTCCTAGGCATGTGGCGAGTAAAGCGAGTTGCGCAGCCTGTGATCAGATTGATCAAGAGGACTCGTTAGCTGACTGAGGCGTCGGAAATAAAACAGAGGAGTCTAGGCCGAGTCGAGACTGAACTAGAACCGGAACCGGAACCGGGCCTAAACAAACACGAATCCAAGTAGAGCCAAAGAGGACTGGCACTTACCGCTGTTGCCCAGAGTCCACCAGCGTACTTCGGGGCCTGTTTGGCGATGAAGGTGGTGCTTGCGTAGATTCCACCAATAGCACCCGCGGCGATTTGAAAGCCAGAGGCCACCCTGTTTGTCCAGATTCGTCAGCTGGGGCTCTCATACAGATGTTGGACCGCCTTGGAGACATGGAGATCCAAGGCATGCACTTGAGGTATTGTGGAGGGGGAGACGGAGGCCCGACATACGCTCTTGTATCTTGCCCACGAATGTTATTCGCCTGCCAGGCCAGAATGGCCGGCAGGTTGCCGTTGGCACCCGCAACGCCGAGGAAGACGCCAAAGTATCGAACCGAGTTGTTTTTGCAATATTCGACCAGCATCAGCCCCACGATGGTGACGATGGAGTGGAGGGCGACAAAGGGCGCACGGAGCTTGAGATGGTCAGCTAGATACGACAGGCCGAAGGCGTAGAAGATGGCTGCAATGTTGGGAGGCGCCGACAACAGGTAGACCTTGGTGGTGGTGAAGCCCAGTCCCTGCAAGATCAGCGGCGTGAAGTATGCAAACGCGTACACGCCGATACCCGCACACATGAACTGCAACGAGTACACCCACAGCTGCCACTTGCCGAGCGTGGCGATGACGTGTTTGGGAGTGATCTTGGTATACTCGGCATCGCCTCGATCCTGTTGAAGTCGGTCCTTGATGATTTGCACCTCGTCGGGGGTCAGAAACGGCCGCCGCGATAGGTGCACCTTGTCCGGGAAATCCACGATGAGCCAGTACCCGAGAGGCGCGAGTACCACGGTGATCAATCCCTCGACGATGAAGATCCACCGCCAGCCAAGGTAGCCTCCCGCACGGATCTTCATCAGGCCGTAAGCCAGGATGTTGCCGAAGCCGCCAGCGAGCAGGCTGATGGCATAGAAGGCCGACATGCTATTGATTTGGGAACAGGTTAGCCCGAATGTCCATTAGGCTTGGTGACCGTCGTCCGACAGGACCCCTTACCGCTTCTGCGTTTGATACCGGTCGTACCAGCAGCTGATCAAGTACATGCACCCAGGACTGGTTTGCGTAGCACAATTAGCTATGAAATGAGCACCAATGCAGGATGGAACTGAACGTACATGAAACCTCCCTCGAACGCGCCCATAAGGATCCTACAGCCCACAATGACCTTTCAACCGTAAGTGACATGTCCTGTCAGAGGGTCCGGGATGACTGTACCGTCCAGGAATGGGCGAATCCCGAGCCTAACGGAAACACGATCGCAGTCAGCCTTGTTCTAGCGATCTAGACCAATGCAATGATCCGACAATTTGCAGCAAAGAAGCCAACTCACCTAGCACGCTCATTCCCCAGGCGAATGTCAGGAAGGATAGCCACAACGCTGCTCCCACCTTTCGGAGGGCGATATTGCTGGGGATCTCAAACAGGAAATATGGAACGAAGAACACCAGCAATGCCACTGAATATCGATTTCCTTGGAGAAAATCGAGCTCCTTGCCCATGCCAGCGATGAGAGCGACGGCCATCTGTACAAGTCCCAAACGACATGTTAAATGGCGGTGTTTGGACAAGAGTTGTAATGTGACTTACGTTGGAGCGATCGATCCCACTGACGGCGTACATTGCTGCAACTATGTGTGAGCTTCCGTCCGTTTGAACATGCACATTACATACCACCCAGCACTGGAATAAGACGGATGTCGACCTTTCGGCTGATTCTGGTTAGCACTCCTATCCGAGCATGCTGTGCTGGCTGCCATACCAAACTTGTCGCCGTCGCTTTATCAGTGCAACATCGTCGATCTCGCTGGTGCTCAATGCCGGGCTGTGTTTGTCTTCAATCTGACTGCCATTTCCGACCACGTGGGCCGAGCCCTTCTCCTCCACGAAATACGACTGCGTGTCCTTGTCGTCTATAGACTCCATGTTGGGCGGCTGAGGTCCAAGGATCGATGACAATATGAATTTGAAGTGTTGTCAGACGAAACGACGGACTGCGATACCTCCACAAACATGCAACGGGAGCAAGGGCATGCGTCCAGGGACTCCATCCAGTATTTAAAGTCAAAGACGCGGAAACCGAAGGCGAAAGGACAGCGGAAACCGGAACCTTGCATATTTCCTTGTCGGGCCATGCCATTTTCTCCGCAAACCTTGAGACCATCACATGAGGCTCCAGTCGGATCATGCCGTCGAAGCCCAATTGAACCGGGGTGCTAGGCTGGGGTATTATCTGCGTGAATGTCGGCAAATGATAGGTCGGGTGCTCCTTGGACCCCAGGATTCCTCGCCACCTCGGGCACATGAGCATGAGGCTGCGAGGCTCGGGATCAATTGACACCCGACCCGTCCCCTCCTAATTCGCTCGCTAAATAAATTTTGCTATCCCCTGCACCAACTACACCGAAGGCGATTGTTCGCTGGAGCAATGGATTGGTTAGACCGGATCAACGGCACCAGCGACATATCAAGGATGCAGTCAAGCGAGGCCGGGCTCACAATCGCGCAGCCAGATTGATGGCTGGCTTTACCACCCACACAGTGGATAAGAGAAGAATGTACATAACTTTTAGATGGCCATTCCGCCCAGTGACATATAGTACTGTGCAGAGTAGTAGGGTCCAATCGTCTTTTTGTCCTGATCTGGACTCGGCATTCTTCTTCGATTCGGATCTTTGCTATATATACCTAGATGGCCATTTTCCGTCGCCACGTGGCTCTTTCAACCATCGCTAGGTAACAGTGTTGTCATTGGTGATTTCTGACCTCTACTATCTTACTCCGTTGGTGTTAGACCACACAAAGGTGGGTGATATAGACGGCGAGAATGAAGAGGTCCAAGCAGAAAGTGAATTGCTGGAGATCACAGATGGAGTTGTGGCGTACGGAGTATACATTAATAAAAAAAGGCGACTGCCTTTTGATCATGTACCACCCAGTCAGCGCGCGCTGAAAGATGGACGATACCAGCAAGATATCGTACAGAGTACTCCGTACCTAGGATACAGAGGATCCAGAGTATAAGGTACATAGGTAGGTTGTGAATATAACCTCGACGCCGCTTTACGGCGTCAAGTCACGGGATAGCGGTGGGACACTATTTGCGCCAAGCCACTAGGATGGATCTAGGGCGGCAATACTTTTGTCCCAAACGGGCGGCGGTCAAGTCCCTCCTTCGAGACCGTACATATCACATACCCCGCGACCATATTGTGGCTCCCGGTCCTCATCTTCCATGGCCGCATTCTTTGGATAGCTCGAACTTCCATTGCCACTTCTGTGGCTCGGTATCACCATGTCCACCACACTGACAATCACCAGATCCCACCACGAGTCTCTGTCGCCTGCCCCGGAGACGTTTGAATTGAGCCTCAAGACTCCTGGAAGGTCGTTACGAGAACTCTCACGGCGGGTGGCGGGTGGCTCGACGCCACAAGAGCGCTCTTCTCACCCTTCACCTCTCTCAGATGAGGAGGACAATAACCAGAGTCATCATGTCAGACACGACGTTCCTCCGCCCGCCGGTTCTTCCCACTCCGTCACGCAGCGGTGGAACCGACCGACAGGAAACATCGGCCGACTTGGATTCGCATGTTTTTCATTTATGGTTGCCGGCCTGAACGATGCCGCCGTCGGCGTAAGTAACAACTGATTCATTTCTATCTTGCTGAACGTTTCGGTACTGGGCACCATGACTAACGGAAACTTTACTAGGCCTTAATCCCATATGTACGCTGCTCCAGGGCCTCGAAGTCGCTCGCCGACTCGACATAGCTAACCTCCGTCCGTCGTGCAGTTAGAGAGGTACTACGACCTCAACTATACCATCGTCTCACTGATCTTCTTGACGCCGTTTTTCGGCTACTCCGTCGCGGCATTCACCAATGCCACGATCCACGCCAAGTTTGGCCAGCGCGGAATAGCGATCATGGCGCCGATCTGCCATATCATTACTTTCGCCGTCTTGGCTGGCCATCCGCCCTTTCCGGTGCTCGTGGTTGCCAACACCATTTCCGGCTTCGGCAACGGTCTTACCGACGCATGTTTCTGTGCGTGGGTTGGGCTCATGGACAACGCCAACGCCGTCCAGGGCCTCATGCACTCATGCTACTCGATCGGCTCCCTGTTTGCGCCCTTGATCGCCACCTCGATGGTTGTCAAGGCCGACCTGCCCTGGTATGATTTCTACTACTTCATGGTACGTCTTTGCCCTCGGTGCACGCCATGCCTTCCCGTCCCGTGGATTTTGTCCTGTGAGGTGGGCGCAAGAGAAGAGCCTGGCAGTCCCAATCCAATAGACACCACACGCTAACCCATTACATTGTGACAAAAGACTGGTGCGGCGGTTCTTGAGCTTGTCGGGCTGAGTTTGACATTCTGGCGAAAGACCGGTGAGGTGTATCGCGTCGAAAACCCTCGAGAGAACGACGCCAGAGGTGGCCGCACGAAGGAAGCACTCAAGTCCAAAATCACCTGGCTATGTGCAGCCTTCTTTTTCATATATATGGGCATCGAAGGTACGTTGATGCAGGCCCGGGCCTCTCCCCTCTCCTCTCCTCTCCTCCCCTCTGCTTCTCAGATGCAACCCAGCCAGGTTAGGTAATCTTCTCTTCCGCAGAGAAGTTGACCGAGTCCGAACTGGCACCTCTATTTACAAGATTGCTCTTACCTGTTAAGGGTTTTTTCTTTTCTTCCTTTTCCTTATTGCCATTTGCTAATGTTTCACTGTTTACAGTCGGTCTCGGCGGCTGGATCGTGACATTCATGCTCCGGGTGCGCGGAGCCTCGCCCTCAGTGTCGGGCTATTCCGCCACCGGCTTCTGGGCGGGCCAAGCTGTTGGCCGGGCCTCGCTGGGCTTCGTGACCCAGCGCTTCGGAGAGCGGCTCTGCATCATCATCTACCTAGTGTGCTGCCTGGCGCTGCAGCTGGTCTTCTGGCTCGTGCCTCAGTACATCGTGTCGGCCGTGGCCGTCGCCTTCCTCGGCTTCTTTCTCGGCCCCCTGTTCCCCGGCTGCGTCATGATGGCCGCCAATCTGTTGCCCAAACACATCCACGTCAGCGCCATCGGCTTCGGCATGGCCTTGGGCGGCACCGGCGGCACCATCTTTCCCTTCGTCATCGGCGCCATTTCCGCCAGCAAGGGCGTCAAGGTGCTGCAGCCCATCATACTGTCGCTGATCGCCGTGCTTACCATCGTATGGTTGCTGTTTCCAAGGGTCAAGAAGAGGGAATGACTTGACACGGCCAGAGCAGTGCTGTGCTGTCTGGCATTGATGAAGATGAAGAAATGGCAAACCCCCCGGGGCCAAGGGGCAACCCGCTATACATAATTAAACCATTAAAAAATATCGCCAGGAAATGGTGAAAATGCACAGAAACAGGCATGATCTCGCTTCGGTGAATGTGAATTCACCCATGTTGGCACGATCAACCCGACGCAATACACAGGAAATTAATGAGGTCTGCTAGGACGAGGAGATGTGTACTTACATACATATGCATAGATCTTTCTGCATATTCGCTACAAGACAAGATCAACGATATCAGACGCATTAATAGTACTCGCCTGGGCGACAGCCTTACTTGTACCCATACCCACAGCAGACTACGTATTGATAAAGATTGCAAGGATTGATGGTATTGCCCGCTTCCTGATAGCCGCTTCCTGATAGTTGCAAGTTTCAACCCCTGGGTATCTAGTCACTGATGCGTAATAATCCATTCATCTCATCATTTCATCAAGTAGGTCCAAGGGCAAGCCCCCAAATCCAACTACTTTGACAACGCATGGCAACTGGTCCATCCCGCCCATTGTACAAATCATCTCAATGAGTTTCGTGTCATCTTTCAGACCTCGCCAAAGAGCCGCCATCATCCACCCTGGCTTGTCCTCAACGACTCGGCATGAATGCAGAAGGACTGACAGTAAAGACCAAGTGTAGGAGCAGCGACACCATTGAAGTCATCTCAACCACGAGTCCAAATTTAAACGCGCGCTCTCTTTCGGCCTAGATCTACCTCGGTATCATCCTCGACCGAGCTTAGTTTCCTTCCCTTGCTGCGCGTAGTTGGCGCATGTGCTTTGGGGTCTTCCGCCGACCCTGGCGTTGTTATTCCACTGCTCGGCACGCTCTCGACTCGACCACCCCCATCATTGTCATAGTCGCTTGCGGTTTCGAACTTCATGTTTGGGTATTGGTCACCGCCTGGATCAATCCCGCCTGTGGTGCCGTCAAGCCCAAAGTCATATTTGCCAGAACTGCCTGACGCGGCCGGGGTCTGGTTCAGATTCCCAAAAAGCTCATCGTCGTCCTTGTAGTCAACAAAATTGAGATCGTCAGTCGCCCCAGTGGTGTGGCCTGGGCCGAGTCCTGTGTTTCCAAACTCGTAGTTTCCAGCGCCGTCGCTCGGGAAGTCCGTGAAATAGTCATTGTGGTTGAGGAAATCATCAATGTCGAGTGGCGGTGGAGGAAGAGGCTGGCCATCTCCAATCCCCGGAATAGAGCCTGTCGGGCTGAGCGGTTGTAAGAGATTTCTCAAGTTCTGCACACTTTTGTCTTGCTCGGCTTGCAGTTTTGCGAGCTGTTCAAGGTCCGCCTGAGTGCTCTCTAGGCGCCGGTGGAAGTTTGTAGGACCGGAAGGGGGGGTTGAATTGATCAGTGCGTTGTCCTTACCCGGTGGTTGGTTGGTTGAGTTGTTGATCATCCTCAGAACATCAGCACGCTGAGATGTACTCAGGGGTCCAGACCCACTGGACGATTCGAGACTGTTGAGGACATTGGAGAAATCTTGCGCTGGCGAGGTAGATGCACCCGAGGGACTGCTGGCATTGTTTCGTGCATTGGCATTTTGGATCAAAGACATCATCTCACGTTGAGGTAGATCACGGGCCTGTGTCGAAGCTTTCCGAAGGCCAGGGGTGTTGGGTTTGCTGGCCCCCGGGTCGAAAATCTCCTCTATATTCGGTGAAAGTGAGGATTGTTGAACATTGCGGAGGGGCTGTGTGCTGGATGGGTATGGGCTGTTGGCCGGACGCGGGGAAAGTGTGGTTGCCCGTCCTTGCCGTGCGGTTCCATTCGTGAGTAGGAGGGGTTGCTTTTTGAATGGTTTCTGTAAATCACTGTCCAGATTGACATCATTGAATGCATAGTCTCCGACGTCGACAACGTTGCCTTGGCTCGTGGCATCGACGGGTATGGCATTCGTGAAAAGACTCGCAATCCCTTGAATGCCGTCATGGCTTTGGATGCCGCGGTTGTAGACTGTTGCGAGGAAGGTCAAGATGGCATTGATTGAGTTCTCGTGACGGTTGTGCTGCTCTTGAAATGTTGCAGCTTGACCGTACAATTGCTCGTGTTCGCGCTTGAGAGCTTGCATCATGCGAGAGATCTGAGCTTGCTGATTTCTGATGGTGGCAAGCTCTCGTTGCACATTTTTGAATTGATCTTGCGTAAGAGATGTGTCCGGATGCCTCAGCGCGAGTTGACCTGGTCGGGAGCGGACACGATTTTCTGCGCTGTTGTTGGTGGCATCATCTGTGTATTCGTCAACATCTTCTTCACCTTGGTCATTGTCGGTCTTGCCCTTCCGCTTCGAGGTTGGTCCACCAACATTCTTCGGCTTTTGAATCAACCACAAGAGGTCTGGATGACCTCGGCGGAAGTACGGATTGGAATATTCACTTGGACTTTTGTTCTTTCTTTCGCTGGCCCTCATGGAGTTATCGGAGAGGCCCACCTTTTTGTGGAAGCCATACATGTTGAGCTGCCGGACAAACGAGGCGTAGTTGTTGTGTTTGAACAATTCGGGAATGAGGGTTTTGGCAAATTCATCTTCATCGAGGACAATGAATGAACTACCATCGTCTGACCACCGGATGAGCTCGGTATTGCGGCCATCTTCTAGAAAACTGGGTTCAGGTTAGCGATATTGTTCTTGTACACGCACTTCAGCCCCGGGGTATCTTACCTATTTAGTTTTTGGACGAAGGGTGGAATTTGCTTCCTCTTTGCTTGCGCTTCCCGTTTGGCGATTTGTGCTCTGGCCTCGAGTTCCGCAATATCATCATTTGCCCAGTCGGCCTCGGCAGGATGCGAGTCTCCATTCGCCGTATCAACCCAGGCATTGTTATCTTCGCTTATGCGGCCTCGAGCGGCAAGTTGGGCTACGGGTCTGCGAGCGAGTTGATTTGATGGCTGCGGTAATGATTGCGGCAATTGGGTGGGTTGGACAAACGCATTGCCGTTGATTGCATAGGTATTATCGTTGTACGGGGCAGCCGGCTGCCCGGTTTGCCCCCAGTGAAAGAAATCATCATTTGAAAGGCTTGGACCGAGACCATCATTGAAGGCCGGAATGGTAGTCGGAAGAGGAGAAGTAAAAGGTATAGGATCTGCGCCTGGAGCAGGACGCTTTCGGGAAAAGCCTTGGGATGTCATTATTGAGACAGTCGGGGGGAGGACGTGGGAGGGTTGATTGATTGGGGTCGTTCGCTCCGATTGAAAAGATTTCACACCACTAGACGTGATGGGACCTCGATCCTAAGCAGAAGATGGGCCGAGAGCGGACTGGTTTTGGAAGAGGCTTCGAGGCGGATCGGATCAACTCTTCAATAGGTCATGTAGGTTGGAAGTGCGCAAAGACCTCGAAAGTAGGCCGCGAGGATGAAAAGGACGGCGGTCAAAATCGTAGGACGGCAAAGATGTTGCGTGATAAGGCGAGCCGGCCTACAAATCCGGACGGTTTCGAGAGCAGTCAACTGAGGGGTGAGGGGAGGGAAGACGAGAAGAGGTTTATATTTGATATGGACGCAGGTATGTTACAACAGGCCAGAACGATCACGATCGAGATGTGATCGCAGGCTGGTTTCGGTCAAGTGAGGGTAGTGTAGTGTGTTTTGGCGGGCTCTAGACTGGAGAGGCGGACGGACGACAGTTAGGCAGTATGACATCGCCGACCGATTGGCCGCTTCCCTCCGGGTTTGGGTTTGGCTGCGGTAGTACGGAGTATCCGTACGCAGGCTGTGATCTGACTGAGAATAAGCGATCTCTCGAAGCGCAAATACCAAGCCTGCTCCACCGTTGCCCGTTGCGCCATACTAGTACTAAGGTACGTACTGAGTAGACTTTTGAAGCTGTGAACACTGAACACGAAGCCAGGGTTTCTTGCGCAGGCCGGGCCACTGTACGGAATAGTACTGCCTCCTCAGTCATCCTGCCAATAATCACAGGCCACCAATCCTTCCTACCACGGCTAGTAGTCTGCTAGACTCTGCCTCCAGCCTTGCGGAACAAGCCGGATGCAAAATGACGATAAAGAGCATATGGAATTCTTCACTTCTGCCTGTGTGCAGCGTCCGCTCTCAACTGTCCAGGTTCCTAGACATTATTTGCGGTGAGTACCAAAAGAAGCAGACCAGAACGACACCGTGCTCCAGCTGGCCGTCTCTCCGCGAGCAACAAGATATTTCTGCCACTTATTGTTTGTCGACACCATGGCTCTGCGCTCCTTACTCTAGCACGCACGTTACTACTCGATAGTCTAAACTCTGTCTCATAAGCCGCACAACCTTTTCTTCATAAGCGATTGAACGCGGCGCCTGACACCCAACGAGACTAGGAATCGAGAGGAGAAGGAGGGGCGGAGGTCCACAGAAAAGGCCTTATGAAGTGCTAGCTTCAATTTAGCGCTGCCTATATTGTACATGGTCAGTCTTTTCCGTCCGCACAAACGTCTCCTCTGGGGACTGTCAAACCCGGATTAAATGCTACGTGTAGGCACAGGGGTAAGGTGTGTGTTTCGGATCTCATGTCCGAACCCATATACACGGAGCTCTACGGTTTGGGTTGGCCAATCATTCTCCTGAAGTCCGCCATTGTCCTCTCCCATTGCGCTGGATGCAACTCTGCATATTGTCTGGCCTTTTCTACTGCTCTCCAGTCTTCCTGCATGTGCTGTGTCTTCTTGCTCCCGTTGAGAACAGTAATGTTCCCAAGTCCAAGGACGAGACAGTACAGGGCTGACTGCGGACTGATGCCTAACTGGTTCGCTAGAGCGCCTGCCTCTTTGGACCACACCAGTGCGGGATTGGCGCTCAGAGTCCAGAAACTCTGGTAGATGATATTGTGGTCCTTGCAAAACTGGCGGACACCAATGTCAAATTTCGTGTTGGGGTAGAAGCGGTTCTGCACCACACTCGGCTTGATGGTTGATCGCTCATACAGATCCATCAGTGTGAAGAGGTTGCAATTGGAGATGCCCAAGTTTCGAATTTCGTTGGGGACATATTGCTCCAGTGTCTGCCACACTTCCAGAGTCTCGTTGAGGGACTGCATGGGGGAGTGTAGGACAAGAGTATCAATGTACGGCTCTGCCTCATCATCGTCCTTGACGACATTGGCAAAGTTGAAGTTCTGGAGGGACGACATTACTGAAGCGTTGACTTGATCCACGACTGGGCTCGTAGGATCATAAGGCATATCGTCAGGATCTTGTCCGCCAATACTAGTGAACTTCGTCTGCAGGTAGAGGTCCGATCTCTTGATGAGTCCATCTCTGATAGCTCTCGAAACCCCGGCGGCGACTAGGTCTTCTCTGTAATGCTTGGGTTGAGCAGCAGTGTCGATAGCAGTGAAGCCGTTGGATATTGCCTGATAAACAAGTTCATTGGTGGCGTCCTTCTTCCACGCTGTGCCGTAGACGAAAGCCGGGATGAATTGCTTGCTGGGTAGGTGAGGCGCATGTAAGGCCAGTTTCTCGAAGAGCGCCGACGCTGCCATCTTTGTATCTCGACAGACCTAATTTGACCACTGTGACTTTATCACGGCAAGTCCGCGCTCGCTTGGGGAACGCCCGATAACAAGACTTGAATCCTGGCGCTTTGTGCAAGGTATTCTGGACCTGTAGTTGATGTAGGAGACCGCCCCTGCCGGAACAGATTGGGTGAGTTCAGGACTGCGCTCGAGAACTTGCAACAACAGCCAACTATAGCCATGACCCGAAGAGGCGCCACAAGCAGAGTCCCACTAAATCGGTCTCTTTGTGCATGGAGTACTCGGTACGGATACTCCTTAAATTCGATCTGGGCAATCGCTTTTTCCCATGACAATAAGTGATTGTTTGACGGCTGTCGAGTCAATGAGCTTGCTTATTTGATGATCTGATTGGCAGATGGACAACAAATGCCGGCCAATCCCGTCTCCCGCGGCTGCCTACGATCGAGCGAACAATGTTTGCAGAATCTATGCAAGGCCAACCCATGCCGGGGAGCCTGAGGCTACGAACTGCAGCAGGGGCTAAGGGGCGTCCCGGAGGCGAGCCCCGGGCTGGCCGGGCATGTATGGATGACAGGATGTACGTATGTCGTGTGACTGCCCCAGACTTCAGACGCAGGGCATCCCGATCATGTATCACAGACAAGGTCTTCTTGTCGGTTTTCAACTGAAGAGTTGCGAAGACGCTAGACAGCTGCGGACCGTGACAGGACTCTTCTTACACCATCTAGCATGTCTAGCAGCCGAAAGGCCTCGTCCTCCAAATCAAGACTGCTTTGGTCACGAGCCCGTCACATAGGCCCCTAGATGATAACGGCAGGGGATAGAAGAGTAGACTTGCCACGCTCATAGCTTCGTTTGACTAATTATCAGGTACTCTCCACGAAGCGTACCAGTGGAAAGACAGTACTCCGTCCTCCGTAGTGTGATGGTATATCAACGGTTCGCGGCGAGTAATCCACCAAGTCTACGTCCCACTGCAAAGTGAGTGGTGGCTCCCAAAATGAGGCAGAGCAATAGGACTAATGATGCCGGGAAGGTAGAGGAGACTCGAAGTCCAAGACACTCGTTGATACTGCAGGGTACTAGCTGATTCGGGCGAAGGGGCTTGAATCGAGATTCGACAAGAATAGGGGAAGTAGTTGGAAGTGAGGCTCCGATGGTTTGGATTCAGCAGGAAACGCTGGTGGCAGTGTACTCCGTAGGAGGGCGACTTTGCCTGCGCGATCTGAAACCGAGATTTCCAGGTGGCAACCAGCGTCATCAGAACAGCGTGGGCTGGGACTGCGAGTGGATTCTGTGGGAAGAGTGTCAGGAGGTCAACAGGGGTTGGGAGGTCAGAAGGAGGCAGTTTGATTGCACTCGACGGTGTGGAGGGAGGCTCGATTTGCGCGGCGGTCCGACGGGGACAACTGCAAGGTCCGGCAGACAGATACTGATAGGCTTCAAGCGGAATCTTTGAGATCGCCCACGGCAAAGAACATGTAAAAAGGAAGTTGATATCAAGGTTTCTGGCTGGTCAACAGATGCATGCCTCGAAAAGCAGTGGAAGACTGATTCCAGCAGCGCAGGCCAGCAATTAGGAGGACAGCCATATTCAAGTTGGCGAACGGGGCGCTAAGCATCACCTAGGGTTAGTGGCCCAGTTGGATAAGCCCCCCTGGCGCGCCCGGGAAATTTTGTGACTCTGGGCGCTCAGACAAGAATGGTAGCCGGCAAAGGGCGCCCGCCCACGGCCTAAGGAGGACTAAAGGTAGACGGGCCACGCACCCTCTAGTCCGCCCTCACCTCGTCTAGTCTCTCCAGTGTCCATGGCCTAATTTCTTTGTTCACAAACATCCCAAAACTCCTTCAAACTCATCTTTTCAACTCGACAGCTATTTCGCCAATTCCACACAAAGTCGCAGTTGCGTGGCTTTATTTGCTTGCAACTGGCACCTTTCTACTCGCGTCTCCATCGCCCCGTCTGTCCTTAATATGCCTCGCTTTTAGGGCTAGACCATTGCTCCCAAGTCTCAACTCGTCCATCGTCCCTTTTCCTCCTGTGTCCGGCCGAAACTTCGACTCGACGCAGCCTGGCTATAAATCCTCCTCAATTCAACCTACTGTCTTCGCCTTCCACCTGCTCAAATCTATCCTATCGGCAACCTGAATTCTCTCCCGTGAGACTCAATCCATCTTAGTTCTGCGGGTCAACATACTCGCGCCGCAGCCATTTTTTGCGACTCGTCGACGCTGGTGGTCCCTGCGCTTTTTTGAGTCCCTTCGAAATCCGAGCCAAATTCCCATTTATCACTCCTCAACGTCGCCTTAACTCGGCCGTCCTGTTGCTCTGTCCCCTGTAAGGAGTCAGACGCAGTCTAGGAAATAGTGATATATAGTTTGTTACAGACCTCAAAGAAACTTGTCGCAAAGTATTGCTGTGAGCAGAAGGGGGAAGACTACCGCCTCAGGGAAATCTGGTTCAACATGGCAACTTTTTCAAACGCCTCTGATGCCTTTTACGACGATCTCTCCGGCACCTCGCCGAGAGCCTTTCGGAACGCGCAACTAAGTCGCCCGAACGCCAGGAACGACGGTTACGGAAACATGGGACCATCAATGTTTGGGAATGAAGGTTCCTTGCCGACAATGCGCTTCGATAATGTTCGAGATGGATTCGGTGGCCCAATGCAGAATCATGGCGTCGCAAACGTCCACTTTCCATATGATGCAGGCGCCGCACAAACTTGGAGTTCGAATGGCGGACCTCATCCGCAGTCCTTTGGAGGTGGTATGGGCGGAATGCCGCAGAATACGAACAACTACGGACCATCGCGAAGCGTGAAACCAAGTCGGGGTCGCGTGGGCCTTTCAAACGTGAGTGCTCGAGTCGACTGATCGCCCCCTCGTCATGGTACTAATGTGTACGACAGCTTTGGGTCGACCAACCCCCTGCTCAGATGCAACAGCAGCACTCCACGATTGTCGGCCATCGGTCAGGATTTCAAGGCCGGAACGACCAGCACGATGACGATGACGAATTGATACCGACAGCAATTGTCATTAAAAACATTCCCTTTGCCGTAAAGAAGGAGCAGCTTGTCCAACTAATGGTCGACATGAGCTTGCCATTGCCGTATGCGTTTAACTACCACTTTGATAACGGGGTTTTCCGTGGCCTTGCTTTTGCCAACTTCACGTCGCCGCAAGAGACGGAACAGGTCATTCAAGCGCTCAACCACATGGATCTCAGTGGTCGGAAGTTGCGTGTCGAATACAAGAAGATGCTTCCTCTTGCCGAGCGAGAGCGGATTGAGAGAGAAAAGCGTGAGCGCCGTGGCCAACTCGAAGAGCAACATCGACCTCTGCCGCAGTCACAACTTCACAATCAAGTTTCGATGTCGTCAATCTCGCGGAACACTCCTTCACCGTTGTCACACCGCGGTTCCAAACCTGGTTAGTCCGACTATCCCTGAACCCTCCAAGAGGAACACTAACGTGGACATTAGATGTAGACATGAACGACCCAAAAACACTCGAGTTTTACACCGAAATGACCCTGTTCAAGCGCGACCCTACCCGTGAAGTTCTCATCTTCCCGCCGACCCTGGAGCCGCCCCACCGCCGCGTCGTACACACCCTCGCACACCATATGGGTTTGATGCACACCTCCCGTGGTACTGGGGATCAGAGACAAGTTCACATCCATCGACCTGCCCCTGGCACCAACGTGAGTCCGCCAACTCTGGCAGGAGGCTTCGTTTCAAACGACGGCCTGCGCCAGACTCTAGGCAGGTCTTCTACGGCCGACTTCAGTGACGGGGGAAGACACTATGATGGTCCGCAGTTCAACACCTTGCGAGGTCAATCTTCCGTCGGTCTATTAGATGTGATGGATTCCAATGCTTTCGGCCGTGCAACTGACAGCAACCTTCGCAATGCAAAGTCCTTCGCCGACCTGCGGTCCTGGAGTCCTTCGCCGGTTCCTTCGTCGGCCAGCTTCCCGGCAGCTCTGCAAACCAACGGCGCACGTCTCCAAGCCCTCAATGACACAGCAGGCTCTAGTACTCCGACCTTGACCCCCACCGCCGTGCCTTCTGCTTCCACCGCGAACAGAGATGAACCGTTCCTGATTTCCTCCTTTTCGAACCTTTCCATGGGTAACAACGCCGGTTCTCAAACCAGCCCTCGGCGTCAACGCAGCTTTTTCAGAAACGGAGCAGAATGGAACGACAACTCGACTACATACCAACCCGCCGCCCCCATTGGCAGTAAAAGAACGGTCAGCATTGGGCCTGAGAATTCCGCTCAGAACGCCAACCCAATGCGCCAAGCTCGGGGACCTGGTTCCAACAACACCATTGGATTTCGCCGACAGAATGGACGGGGCAGCGACGAATTAAGAGCCGCGGCATCAGCAATCGCCGAATGAGAGAAAGACCGGATACCCTCCTCCCCCCTTTGATGACGCTCTTGCAGAGCAATGACGATTCAATGAACCACGAATGAGACGATCAGCCCCCTTACCTGGAAACAAAAAGTTAGACGCATAGGGCAGCTACACGACTGCATGATTGGACTACAGAAAAAGATGTTGTAACGACATGACAGGCTACGTGGTGCGGGTTGCAGCATAATTCCTGCAGTTATTACGAAGTCCCAAGAAGAACGATTGATTCTGGTTTGTACACTTTGCACTTTGAAGTCCGAGACGGCCGTGTATCCTGGTATTGCTGCCAACGATGACCACGACGTCGACTGGACACCACGGTCAAGAGATATGGTTGTGTTGTGTTTGTTGCTTGCTCTGCTATCATCTATTGTGTGCATTTGATATGGTGATGAAGCCAGTCTCCCATCTTGATGGTTATTGTGGACTGGCGTTGATGTATGAGACACACTCGCTCTAATCATTGGCAGTGCCCCGGAGGGAACTGCACGTAATACCAAGATATATGTTGTCTTTAGAGAGGGTGTCCTGTCCATCTTGATTCCTGGGATGTTTAATACTAGTAGGAGTCAGGGGGTCAGCTATGTGCTTTGATAACGTATTTCCCCATTATAGAGTACCTACTGTGCACGGAGTACAGAGTACCTTAGGTAAGATACGGTATACACTACTGTGAGGTACCTCTTGTATGTACTCCGTACTCGTAGGTACCAACGGATGGCACGCACCTAGCACGGACTAGTAGAGACGGTGCAGATGGTGCATGGTGGTGCAGAGAGAATATGCTGACATAAGCGCCAAGCTCTTCCGACCTTTGGCTGGTTGTGTTTGATTCCTCACCACACTCCTGATTGCTTTTCTCATGTGGGATGGTGAGGCCGACCCGGTCGAGAGAGCATTTCATCTTTTCCCAGACAGACGAATATCTGTCTGTGCATATGTCAACAGACAACCATTCTGTCTCCCGGTAGGACAATGCGCTGGCAGATGGCAGGCGTCTGCAGCTCTAGGGAGTGGGCTTCACTGTTCAGAGCACACTCCCGTGCGCTGGGGGACGGGTATCCAATTTCTTCATGATATCCCTTCTCCGACGTCCCACGGTAAAAGTGACTACCACTGGGCATCCCGCAATCACACCTGGGACCTCGTCGCAGCACAGCGTCCGTGCCTGAGGCCGACCTGATGTCCAGTCCCAGCCCGGCCGTTGAAGCTATCGAGGAGGCCTCCAGATATGCCAAGGCAGCTAGTGCCCAAGACGGCTAGGGCGGTATCTGCGGTGTTTTCCCTTACGATCTGCGCCTTCTTTTCCCTGCCACCCACCTTGATCTTACCTTACCTTACTCACTTTTCGCACCCATACCCTCTCTATCAACATCCCGACGCGTCCGCCGACGGTTCCATCAGCTACCACCACCCAACCCTCTCTTGTCGCATTACCAAGCCGGTGTTCCACTGTCATCTACGCGCACACATCTTATCATGGCTGGAGGCAAAGGCAAAAGCATTGGCGGGAAGGCCTCTGGCGCGAAGGATTCCACAGCAAAGAGTCAAAAGTCGCACAGTGCGAAGGCTGGCTTGCAGGTAAGCTGATCATGCACTCCAGCTTGTTGAAGGACATAATGGACGCGTACTTTGTCGCGTCGTTCCTATCCGTCTCCTTGTGGCTCTCCGCCTTCTCTACCGCGATGATGATTATCTCCAGGCTGCAGCTGGTCTCTGGTGCGGCGCAGCCTATTCAGCGTCATCACAACCATTCTCTTTCCGTGCTTGAGATTCTAACGCGATAATTTCCGGCAGTTCCCCTGTGGTCGAGTCAAGCGTTTCCTCAAGAACAACACTCAGAACAAGATGCGAGTTGGTGCCAAAGGTATGCAGGCTGCCATTGTCTGATTCGTAGTGAGGTAGATACTGATGAGATTTCTCCCAATAGCGGCCGTCTACGTCACCGCCGTTCTCGAGTACTTGACCGCCGAAGTGTTGGAATTGGCCGGCAACGCCGCTAAGGATCTCAAGGTCAAACGAATCACCCCTCGACACCTTCAACTTGCCATTCGTGGCGATGAAGAGTTGGATACCTTGATCCGGGCAACAATCGCATTCGGTGGTGTGCTCCCTCACATCAACAGGGCGCTGCTCTTGAAGGTCGAGCAGAAGAAGAAGAGCAAGGCAGATGCATGATTCATCCTCTAGACCGGACATACAGACCCTGTTGCACTGGATATCCCTGGAACCGGCGTCCCAAGGGCATACCGGAGGGAATTGTGGCGTTGAAGGTGGGGGCTTTGCGATGAGTGTACGATGAAGGACATTTCCCAGGAGATTCATAGGGATTCACACGTGGTTGCTATTGCATTCTTTCTATACTTTCGGAATGGTTTTTGGTCGGGAGGAATATCTGCTTTTGTTTTGCCTTTGACCTTAACACCCTCGCTTCCTCTTTCCTCTGTTCAGAATGGCATTCTCCCGAGAGTTTCGCCCCATCTCTAATTCATCATAGGCGTCAATCTGACAGGTGTGACCTCCATCGTCCCAGGCAGCTATATTTCAAAATGACCCGGGTTGCTGCCTAGCTCTCTCTGTTTCCCTTCGTTCTTGCTGTATGTGCCCGGGCATCCTCCGCAAACATACAGAGTAGGCTTGAACAGGGTATTTGATCCAGTCCAGCGTACTGTGTTACATGACTTCCTGTGGTCTTTGATTCGTGGCCTTTCCCGCCCATGATAGTAGTAAGTCCCGTTTGTTTGACCTCCTATTTTGACATGGAAACAATCGCCAATCGCCTTGACGCGGCTCCCCTTGTCCTTCGTCAAACTCCTGATTGTTGGACGCTTCCGCTGCCTAGCCAGTCGGACCAGTGTGTTTGGCTGAGTTACGTGATTTGTTTGCCTTCCACGGCGAGCCCAGTCTTCCTGGGTAGTTGTGGTCGCCCTTGGAGTCATGCCGTATCGGTCTCTGGCTGCCACCTCTGGACGAATTCTGGAGGTTTGACATTGGCACTGGCCGACCCTCGTGTCTTGGACGGTCTGGTTGTGATACTTCCGGAATACTTCCCAGCTGTTCTGCGTCTTCTGCTGGACGATGGCAGGGCAATATGGACCTGCACCGATTCGCTATCTGGCCACTCTCATCCTGTCGGTGTCGGTGTCGGCAGACTACGGAGGGAAGGGGAGGCGCTTCTAGCGGTGGAAATCTTGTGTGAGACAAACTTGTCCTGGTTAATCCAGTTGAGTGTTTGACACCGCTTGAAGGGTTTGGATGTCGTTAATTAGTGCAATCGGACTTCAACTTCCTGGCTTGCACCTCCATCTTGATGTGGACGATGCAGCCGGCCAGCCGACGCGTCTGGCACCAGCTTCGCCTTGAGAAAGAAAACGCAGCGTTGTGGAAATTATCTTTGTTGGTTGATTCTCCGGCTGTGTGAGAAACACCCTTGTGGGAATTGTCTTGTTGGCTGATCCTGCGCCTTGAAAACTAACGCCACCCTCTGGGAATCATCCTGTTCCTTGATTCTTCGGCTCACTGTGTCAGTCATATCAATCCTCCTATTGGCAATCTCCAACACCAGTGCCTGAGGACGGTCAGTCCATCACATGGAGACCGCCTCGTCGGGCAATAAAAGGACCTGTGTGACCAGAAACATACTGCCACTGGCCATATGAGTCTCTGGTGATCGACTTGCGAGCTCAGCGTCGGGCGGTGCCAGATGCTCTTGTACTACGTCAGCCTACTGTTGGTGAATTGGCGTGGGAAATGACCAAGATCGAGCTGAAGAAGAAACGCACGGAGGAAGCGATCGAGGGTCAGGCAGTCTTTTGATCTACGGCCCTTCGAGATATTAAACTTAAGCCCCAAATAGCCATATGCGTGGTCGGCAAGATTGGTTCTTACACAACCCCATTCGGATCGGTAATCAGGACCCCATGATCGATTGAGGACGAGTTTATGGTGTCCAAACGCACCGATACTCATCTCAACATCCACGTCCACGCCCACACATATCTATACACATCCTGGGCCTACCTCAATCAGTTCTCTACATCCACTTCCATGAGCACTAGCTTCAACTTGTCAGAATGGCTCGATCCCCGGCAAGGAAAAGAGCCTGGATTGATGCCACAGGGAGGATTCACTGGGTCACGCCCGACAAAGACGAGCAGAGACAAGGTCACGGCCACCACGACCGTCATGGCCATGGCCATGATCGTGATCGTGATCATTATCACCACCACCACCACCGTCATCGTCATCATAAAGGTAGGGCAAAGTCAAAAAATACTCCATCCCGCACCCCGAACTCGAAAGGACATTTGGTAAGATTCTCAGGATCGACGAGAGGAGGCAGCCGAGGTCGAAGTCGATATCGAGATAGGCGAGATAGGCGACACAGGTAAGGTTGATTCTATTTTCCCACCTTGACGGTGGGGATGTTGTACCACCGCCTCGGACAACGGTTACTTATGAGTGAAGAACACGAAGCTGGATAAATACCAGGACTAAGCGACCAAAGTGTTGGGGTCTGGCTGCACGAGGGAGTGTTCTGGGCTAAGATGACACTCAAGGTGATGACTGTGTCTAGTGATGACTAACGAGTACATTGGTGAAGGAGAAGCCGAGACAGAAGCCGAGACAGAGGCCGAGACAGACGCAGAGACGAAGATCGTGCCTTTGACGCCCTCTTCGCCGGCATCAGCCCGCATCGAAACCATGACCGTGACCGCGATCGCGACCGAGATGATTACGTATACCCACGCGGACGCGGACGCGGACAAAACGGAATGTGCCTCAACCTTGAACGTCGACCAGGGGAGCACGAGGGAGACCCTAACATCTACTATGACATAGGCGACCCGCGTGGGATTAAGGCATGCGTGCATGGGGACGTGCCGCAGGTCTGTGAGGAGTGTGCACGCGAGAGGGATTCTAGAAGCAGGAGTAGCGACAGCAGCAGGGGAAGGAGCAGAAGCAGAAGTAGAAGCAGAAGCAGACACAGAAGAAGACGAAGACGAAGGAGAGCCAGGTCTAGATCACGATCACGATCACGGCCACGGACACAGTCATGGTCGGAAGACTACCACTCTGACTATGAATATGGCCCAGACTGCCGCCTCGATTACCTCGATTACGACGACGACGACTATTTGTACCACGGCCACGGCCATGGCCACGGCTCCGACTATGGCCCCGACTATTATCGGGATCACGATCACGATCACGATCGCGGCCACAAACGCGACCACAAACGCAGACATAGGCACGGACATGAACGCAGAAGCAGAAGTAAAAGTAAAAGCAGGAACGGAGCTAGAGCCAGAAGCAGAAACAGAAACAGAGTCAGAGCCAGAGGCAGAAGCAGAAGCAGAAACAAAAACAGATACAACTACGAGGCCAACAGCCTCAGCGCCGAGATGCGCGAAATGGCGCACGCCCAGCGAAGAGCCGCGGAGCAGACAAGGTGGTTATGGATGGAATACGGGAGTTGAAGGGATGAGATGGTTGATAGTTAAGGCATGTACATAAGCTTAAGGTAGTATAAGATGATTGATACCTACCTACTTGTGTAGGCTTGAGGTAGTATGACAGACATACATACATAGTCCGTATTTAGCTGTACATTGGATACGGCCCAACACAGTACGGGCTCGAAATGACTTGTGTGAGTTGTGCGCGTAGGTAGGTAGGTCCTTCCACTATTTATAACTAACGAGATACATATCTACCACCACTATTTATAGCGATATAGAGTCTGTACGTTTTCAGTTATGACTTCACAATTTACATACTATTCCGCGCCAATGATTGGAATCTAGAGCTGTGGCAGGCTCAGAGACATATTAGGGCAATCGATGAGGAGCCACTGTAGCTCTTCATGAGTCAAGCCAGCAACTTCTAATAGGTGATGTGTAGTAGGTAGTAGGTATGTCGTGGTACTTTCTACCATACAGTATGATATGCGGTATGGCCAACGGTTTTCTTGTCGAATTCTTGAGTCGTCAGATGGTTGTTTGTATACATACATACATACATACATACATATATATACTAGACCATAATATTGTCAATGACCAAGGTTACATACCCTGCCCTGCCTGGCCAAAGCGGTGAAGGTACTGACTGTGTTCAAACATTACGTTGCCTTTGATTGTATGGCGCTTTCTCCATCGGAGGTGGAGGGAGCGTCATCTGGAGGGAGAGCGTCAGCTAGAGAGCGTCAGCTAGAGGGAGAGCCTTAGCTGGAGGCAGAGCGTCATCTAGAGGGCCTCAGCTAGAGGGAGCGTCGGCTAGAGGGAGCGTCAGCTGGATGTAGAGCCTCAGTTGTGTACATATGTGTACGGTATACAGTATTCGAGGTAACACGTCTGCCTGTGTCTGTGGTAGCTACCACGCCAGGCGTCCAAGCCCAAGCCCTATTCCACCATGCTCTTTGTTCATATGGTCATAGCAAGGTCCGCTCTGGTCGAAGACCGCCAAACACACCCAACAGATGTGGGCCTTGCAGCCGCCGCAAGTCATATGGTTGCATCCCTCTGTCTTCTCCATCGGCGTGGTGCATTTCGGACAGTCTTTGATGTTGAGTTCTCGCTTCAGCCTCTGTAGTGCCTCGTAGCCACCGGATGCAATGTCCTTGTATTCGGCACATGTGTAATTTCCGTGTCGGGCGTGACACGAGGTGCATATGGGCTCGAAGCAGCTTGGGCAGCTGTAAGGCTTCTGGGTCTGGTTGTGCTTCTGGCTCTGGTTCTGGCTCTGGTTCTGATTCTGCGTCGAGCTGGAGGCAGCAATGGCAGTGGTGTTGCTGGTAGTGATGTTGCTGGTGTCAGGGCCACTACATCGATACACATACCCGCAATCTGGAGTCGGGCAGTAGTGAAAGGCCTCCGGGTGACGTTGGATGTACTCTTCGAAAGAGGACTGGAGCACCGTTTCGAAGACGGATGACGGTAGATGGTCTTGTAGTTCTCGGAGAGTGAAGATTGTCGGGCAAGTGCCTTCATCACCTTGGCACTTGACTTGAAAGCCGTTTTTGTCCTTACTGGTCGATGCGGCGGATTTGCAGCAGTCTTCGAAGCATTCGAGGCAATATGTATGCTTGCATGAGGTCTGGATAGGGTTGTCTGCTTCGCAGAAGCAGATCGGACAGTCTCCTTCCGGCACCGGCCCCGACACCGAGAGCGAGATGGATTGAAGATCAAGAGCATCACCATCACCATCACCATCACTATCTTTCTTGTTCAAGTTGCCGTTCATCATCGCCAAGGCTGTTTCATATTGTTGCCGTGTGCCACTGACGGCAAGGCTCCTCGTCACCACGTTGAAAATGGCCACATTCTTCCCCAAGACTCGTTCAATGTTCTTGAAGCCATCATGAATCATCCAGGAGAATTGGTCGTCGTTGAGAACCATCTCATATAGGCCGCTCGTAGGTGATCTTGATCTTTCTTCTTCTTTGAGCATTTCAGTCACCTGGCCCACAGCCTGCTGGAATTTCTCCCGCGGTCCGTGAAATCGGAGCTGACGCCTCGACTTGTCCCGGTGGATCACTATGTCGAGTTTCTTCTCTATCATCTTGAGCTTCTGGTACGCACTTCCATTGTTGTGGAGGGCTGAAGTCCAAACTGCATCTTCACGCTCACCCTCGGTAAGGACAATTCCACTGGAAATCTCATCGAGTGTTTTGCGAGCGCGCGCCACTTCAGTGGCATTGTCCCCCTCGACTTTCAACATCGTGTATCCTTGTGAAGGATTCGAGTAAACATGGAACGCTAAATGCCGTTCCTGCCAGATCTTCTTTTCCTGGTCGATCCTGCTCTTCGAGGCCAAGTAGATGGTCGTTTGCACTTTGACCTTGGCGGACTGCACCAGTGTCACGGTCAATTTCCCTCCTCCGATGATATCTAATCGTTTGCTGTTCAGCGAGCATGCTGATCGGGCGTCCGCTTCTTCTCGGAACCACGCTGCAGCCTTCACTCGCTTGCCTTTGCCTTTGGATGCGGACTCGGGCGCGAGATAGAAACTCTCGAGTTGGCCGTGATCTTCGAGGCGCGACCGAACTTCCACGCTGACTTCAGCATCAGAAGTGCTGTAGCTAACGTCTCCCATTTCAATGTGCCGTGGTTTATCGTGGATGGCTTTGATGGCCTTTTCAACATCGTCGCGGGTCGCATGTCCAGGCACATCGCTCAATGTAATAGTGTAAGCCACCGGGTTATGGGAAAAGCGACGTCGCCCGGAGGAATATGCAGTTCGCGGTCCAACAGCAACAGAGCATTTGACAGACTGACCTAGACATTTGTACCTGCCTTCGAGGAATTTCTGTGCAACCCTGTTCGCTATCTCGGCGTTGCCGAAGTTCATCCAAACACTTCGAGAAGTCTTGTGCCAGGAGATGTAGACTTTTCGGCAATTCGACCGTCTGCTATCAATCGGGATCGACACAGCACTGAGGGCCGGCATCAGCTTCTCAAGTCTGGCGCTCAGATTGTTCGCAAACAAGGGGTCTTCCGCTTTCACCGTGGCCTTGGTCCCCTCCGACGCCGTATGCCCAAGGATACGAACGAAGTCGACATTTACGTTGAAGTCTAAGCCACGAAGAATCTCGACAACCATTTGAGGTGTGGTTTCTTGCGCAAGACCTGTAATGCATGCAATAGAGAAGTCCGTTGGAAGAGAAACTTTGACGATCTGGCCGACATGGTCGAAGGAGACCAGGGCCCCGGAGAGGTCTCGAGTAAAATTATCTTTGCGTTCTTGGTCCTGTGCAATGTTGATATTAGAAAAGTACTTACTACACAGAAGATAGAGAGGTGGGGGTTACCTCGTCTTCGGTGACCTCGACATGTTGGTTGCCGGAGCTGGCCTGTTCAACCTCGTCACCGTCTAGGGTGTGGAGGTACGGACATGAACTATTTCGACAACCGCCGGACCTTGAAAGGAATTTGCAGGGGACTGTTGCACGAGAGTCTGGTATTGCATGAGGATGAGGATGAGGATAGCTCTCACTCTCACATTGCTGGCTTAGACCTGTGTCGTGGGTGATCGCGTCCGGATTGACTAATCGCGGTAGCACAGGACCATCAGGATCCGAAGGATGACGGTACCAGCATTGATTGCCTTTGGTACACAACCCTCGTACGAAGAAGGTGCAGATGGGAGTATAGTTGGCTTTCCCTTTGTGATCGATAGGAGTAGCAATAGCAACTGTAGGATTGAGGCCGAGTCTGTCGGTGGCGCCAAAGGGAGGAGAGTGCTGGACGAGGTTTTGAGTGCCTGTGTTCCGTTCATGGTTGAACTTGCAAGACTCCCCGTTCCTGCACAGTCCTTGTGGAAAGAACTTGCACGATATCGTCTTTGTTGACGCCATTGAGGACCGAGTTGAGGTCAGGTCGAAACAGCCTGGGGTTGAGGTGCAGTTGACTTCCTGTGTGCTGTCGAGCCATGGCCACTGTCGTTCATACAGTACTTACTGGTACCCCGCCGCCTACAGGGTACAGGGTACAGGGTAGTTAGTGCTTTGCTGCCTGATCTCGTGCCGGTCTAGATGTGATTGGCGTGATACACGTATGTTCCAGTACGACAGAAGAGCCGACAGTGCCTACCTATAGATAGCATAAGCCCCTCGTCTGTCAAGATGATACCTGCTAGGTAGTAGGAACAGGTAGGTCTTTCAATGTCTGTTATGACCCGTATTCAACCCTCCTCGCTGTCCCTGTAGAGTTTGGCGACCCTTGACCCTACAGGAGTCCTGGTGTCTTGTGCCGCACTGCATGATTGGCTTAGATGTTAGATCCCCGTCCGCGCCGCGTCGTGGGCAGTGGCAAGGGCAGAGACGGTCGCAGTTGCAGTCAGAATTCGTTCCCGCATCACGTTCCGCATCCCACCAGGCAGGTCGCGAGAGTGGAGAGTGGAGAGTGGAGAGATTTTCGTCTAGAAGGCCAAGCGTTAAGACGTCCTTGTTAGAGAGAAGGACAGAGGACAGAGCGACTTCGATCAATACTAATCTCAGAGACCGAGGCCTTTCTCCGTACGGAGAATCTACTCGGCACGATCAGCTGGTGTCTAATGCGCTCAGCTACCGAATGCTGGACGCAACTGAGCATAATACACCGTACTGTATTTGCGTCGATTCGAGCCATCTCATCTGCTCCCATCCCACCCCGACCCGACCCCGGGCGCCCGGACCATCGAGTTCGAGTTTCCGTGACACGCCATCTATCTATCTATCTTATGTGTCCCCTGCCCCAGGTGAAGGATCTAGGATCTGCTCCTATACACTCACAGTGGGAGAGGTCCATCTGGCTCCGGCTCCGGCTCCGGCTCCGGCTCCGTCTCTGGCCACTGGAGGCAGCCTCTACCCGTTCCGTGCACGACCTTACTAGGTAGGTAGGGACTGTACCAACAACATAAGGTTTCAGTCATATTGCAGTACAGTATACTTCCCGAGGAATGGAATGGGATGGGGGTTGTTTCGGTACTGAGTGACTGGCTGGCTGCTTGGTTGATTGGGACTCGGTCCGACGATACTCGTACTCTTCCTTCTTGCTTTAAAGAGTATTTCTGGTATATATATCCAGTTCAGCCTGGCTATTTGGATGTGACCAGGACGGAGACGCAGACTCATACTCATACTCATACTCATACTCATACTCATACTCATACTCGCCCTCATGTTGTGAACCCAAGTTTCGTCCTGATTTCAGTCTTCTGATGAGGTCTGGTGTCATCTTATCCTGCTTATATCTGCCGCCATGGGCCTCGCATCAGACATTGTCTATTTCGCCCGTCGTCCGGATCAGCTGAAGTTAATGGTTCAATGGTAGGCATGAATTCCTTCCTACACACACACACACACACACACACACACACACTGCAACGAATACTGTCTCTTCCGATACTATATCAGTACAATGATAACACAGAAGAAACATGCCGACGACGCTTGCTGACCGGTGTACCGTTCATGATTCGTCGTGGTAGGAAACTCCAACACAGTCCTCTCCAGATATACGAGCGAAACAGCGTGTTGAGGCACGCGTCGGCCTCGGCCATGGTCTGCTTCGAGTTCCTAGACCAGACCGGTCGCAGCTTCAGCTCAGTGGTCAAGGAGCTACACCCGGAGCTACTCATGCCCGTGTGTGTGTTCTACCTGGTGCTGCGGGGCCTCGACACCATTGAAGACGACACGTCGATCCCGCTCGAGACCAAAGAGCCGCTGCTTCGCGGCTTCAAAGATCGTCTGGACCAAAGCGGGCCCGGCTGGATCTTCACCGGCAACCGCGTGGAGGAAAAAGACCGCGAACTGTTGGTGCAGTTTGACAAGGTCATTGGCGAATTCAGGAAACTGAAACCCGTCTACCAAGTGATCATCAAGGACATTGCCGACCAAATGGGGAACGGGATGGCGGATTTCGCGCGAAAGGCTGCCTTCGGCCCTGTCGGTGTCGACACTGTCGATGAGTACGATCTCTATTGCTGGCATGTGGCCGGTGTGGTCGGCGAGGCTCTGACGCGCCTGTTCCTTGAGGCTGGGCTGGCTGAGACGAGCTTGATCAACCAGGACCACTTCCATCTGTATAAATCCATGGGTCTCTTCCTGCAGAAGAACAACATCATTCGCGACATCCGTGAAGATTACGATGACGGCCGGAGGTTCTGGCCGAAGGAGATTTGGTCCAAGCACGTCGACGATTTTGGAGACCTGTGCAAACCGGAGAATCGAGAGCGTGCCCTCAGCTGCAGCTCCGAGATGGTCTTGAATGCGCTGGGCCATGCCACCGACTGCCTGTCGTACCTTGGAGCCTTGCGCGAGCAGAGCGTCTTCAACTTTTGTGCCATTCCCCAGTCCATGGCCATGGCCACTCTGGACTTGTGTTTCCGAAATCCCGCCGTCTTGGAGAGAAACGTCAAAATATCAAAGGGAGATGCACTCCAGCTGATGGTCGGGTCCAGCCAAGGTCTTGAGAGCGTGTGTGAGGTCTTTGGTCGTTATGCCCGCCGAATTCAACAAAAGAATGAGGATCACCCCGACGATCCTAATTCCATGAATATCAGCATTGTATGCGAACAGGTCGGTACTCGCAGCCGTACACTCGCCGCTGTCTGATCAATGGTCAGTGGTTTCTAACCAGCCCAGTCACTGACTCTGTCTCTTTCTAGATTGAAAGATATGCTGAAGCTCTAGCACTGCAGAGCATCGAACTTGCCAAGAGCGATACCAAGGGCAAGGGGGAGGCTTTGGGCGTCGCGAAGGAGCAAGTTCAGCATCAGGTCGACTTCAACGAAGAAAAGAGGTTGACGGCCACGGCTGGACGAGTATTTGCCATTTCAGCAGTCATCTCCATCTTAGTTGTAGGAGCCGCCTGGCTTATAGAAGCCCTCTTTAGTATTGCCTGACCAGTGGAATGGCACTGTGGAAGACATCGTCGTCCTATCCACAGCGTTGATACTATACATACGAACACAACATCACCTCGGTGGCTGTGACGATCCTAGATCTAGATCCTTGTTTGTGTCAAACTTAGACACTAACTTAGGCATTCCCAGCCCTTGCCTTTTAACCAGAAGCCTGGCACCTACCGAGCTCGAAGGATCTCCAGGACTGTAAGGGCTTAAGGGTGACAGAGAACGGTGAGGGATCGCTGACAGCGGCATTTTGTGGTTATCCAGCTGACGTCGTGACATCGATGGTTTTGGTCTGGATGAAGTCCGAGAGAGCATCTAGCAGCTCACTGATCGTAGGTGGTTCGCATATTCTACAACTGGCCTCCAGTCGGCATTTAACCCAACTCGCTGATGGCCAGCTGAATCATTGAAGCTGGCAAACGGTTGGAACACGGCCGGTCCTAAGTAACTGATGTACCCGAGCCTTTGAAACCCAGAGATATCAACAGATAAGCTAAATCGAAATGGGTATCAAAGTCCACAACGACTGAATTTATCATGAGTCTGGTCTCAATAGAGTCAACAAAGTCGCCTCATATCGTCTCATATCGTCTGCCTCAACTTCTTCCGGCTCTTGTAATTTCCATCTTCTCGTCCTCGTTTCTGGCCTCGGCCACCAATTCCGCCCCCGCCATGTGCTGCGGTTGCCGTACCGAGCATAGTCCTGTGCTTCTGCTCGATAGCCCTCCTAACCAGACGCATCTCTTCATCGGAATCCGCATCGTTGGAGAATTTCTTTTTATTTAAGCGGGAAGGAGTCCGGCGGTGCGTAGCGTGGTGATCTGAACCATCCGAATCCGACTCCGCATCGGGGTTTTCTGATCCTGAACTCAAGTCGCCATTGTCATCCTCATTCTTTTTCTGCACTGTCCCCGTCTTTCGCTTTTGTTTAAAAGATCCATACGTCTGTCTACCGACGGGTTGATTGGTCCATATATCTTCGTCCTCGGGACCGTCTTCACTGTCATCATTAGGATTCTGCTCTTCTTCATGGAGAGACGAGAATCTAGACCCATTCACCCCACTGGCTTGTGGTTTGGCTAGAGAATGGGAACTGGAACTCGGCCCGTTAGAGAACGGGATCTTCAAATCTAGGACCCATTCTGTATCTGCTCCGTCTCCGCGACTGAATGTGCTTATCCCTTCTCTTGGGAGTGTGAGACTGGTGGACTGTGTTTCAGCTGTGAGAGTCGGTGTACCGGAGCCTCTAGAGGGTGTTGCGGGGTTCGATGCTGAAGGAGAAGAGGCCGTGTTTTCAATACGCCGGCGCTTCGCAAATGGTTCGCTTGACGGTGTCTGCGTTGTTGCAGCGGTAGGAGTAGATGTGGGCGAAGCAGCAGCAGCTCTTTTCATGAACTACACCAGGCGATATTAGCTTGATAGATAGCTGGTAAGATGCGAGAGGAGAAGTGGTTTCGTCGTCAAAGAGGACTGGTTTGGATTGGTTCACCTTCATGTTCAGCAATCGCGATGACATTTGCTTTGCTGGCTGCTGAGGCCTGGCACTAGGCGTGCTGAGACTCGCCATGTTTGCGTTCTGCTTTGCTCAGTCGTACCGTTCAACCAGAAATCGGTGTAAGAGAGAGGTTTAGCAGGGTTGTTGAACAAAGTATGGTGTGGGAGAAATGCTCAGTTCTGTCATCTAACCACAATATGGCATGGCATAGAAGTGATGTCTGTAGAGGCCGAGTAAAATGTCAAGTTACTCTCATCACTCTCTCTTGGATCATCAATTTTATTCCCAGCGACACAAAAGTCCCGCTCACTTTCCACGCACGCAGGCGCAGCGAACCGAACGAACCGAGCCGGGATAACGGGTGTCTAGATGGACAAGCGGCCACAATCAAGTCAGTCCCAAGCCAGCCGTCTGTTGCCTGAGATCAGATCTCAATCCAGAAGAAGGCAGATGCACTGTGGGCCGATCGGATCTGTCGACAGCGGTTGCGGTTGCGGTGGTCGTTAGTGACTGGGGGGAAAGGGAAAATGTTGTTGCGCATAGAAGAACAAAGCGCAGGCGGTGGAAGTGACAGTGGGTGGAATCAGGCACATCATGTCGTGCGCCAGTCGTCGAGAAAAAAGCCCCTGGATAATCGTTTTCCCGAGCATGTCTTTAGGCGTGTCAATCTCTCGTCTTTCCCTGTCCTGAGGCTGCGCTACTACTAGATGACCACTTACTATTCCGAAAACTCTGATGAGATGATGGAAGGGGCCCCAGCCTTTACGATGGCAAAAGGAAAGGCTGAATCGATATCAGTCATGATATCCACAGAAAATGGCGCGATTGACAGGTAGGCCGTGTCCAGATCGTCCTTTCATCTTGATACATAGGTACATATGCAAGAGGTGAGTGCCTGGCGCAATCTCCATCTTCAACCTCAATTTCCCACTCCTCGCTTTGACGCGACACACGACACACACACAACGTCCTCCATCACAGACGACAGACGAGACACGACACGACACTACACTATAGTTTATCTTGCTCCACACAGATTCACCCCGCTCGATTCACTCCATGGACACACCTCAATCCATCCCAGACAAGGATGTCACCGTGACCGATCTGCCAACTTCGACAATCCCTTGGTCCACGAGGACGATGGCTCGGTTCACGGCTGAGATCGATCCGCGCTGGGCCGACACCATTCTCGTGGCCTGTTTCTTCGTCTCGGGCATTGTAGACAGCGTCGTCTTCAGCACTTATACTTGCTTCGTCAGCATGCAGACCGGTAAGTACCGCACCAGAACGTGAAGCGCTTCCGAATACATCAGGCACTGTCATGGAGACCTCTGGCCAGCTAGAACCGAGACTGATTGAATTGACGCCCAGGAAACACTATCTTCGCCGGTCTGGGAGTCAGCGATCTGCCTTCCGATGTTCCAAAGCACACCTGGGTCAAATCTCTAGTAGCCATCTTGGCCTTCTGTCTGGGCGCATTTTTCTTTTCTCGATATCATCGCTACCTTGGTGCACTAAAAAGATGGGTTGTACTGTCCTCATTCCTGATTCAGACCATGTTTATGGTCATCACTTGCATCTTGATCTCCACGGGTGTGGTGCCAAAGACGAAGAAGCTCACCATCGGGCAGACTGGCAGAGGCAGCTTTGCCTGGGTCGAATTGTGTCCCATCGCCTTGTTGGCATTCCAGAGTGCCGGGCAGATCGTGGCCAGTCGCATCTTGAAATACAATTCCATGCCCACCGTGGTATTGACCAGCTTATATTGTGACCTGATGAGTGATCCCCATCTGCTCACGGCGGGACTATTTGAGGATCCCGACCGAAACAGACGCGCCGTGAGTGCAGTGGCTCTTTTCATTGGTGCAACGATAGGCGGCGCCCTGATCAAGACGGATGTCGGCTTTGGGGGAGCGTTGTGGATAGCAACAGGCGTGAAGGGATTAATAGTGTTGGCATGGTTGTTGTGGAGGCAAAAGAAACCGCAAGGACAATAAAGAGATAGTGTCTGAATAGATTCAATTCAACCGGCAGCAGCGGCGCCATCATCGTTTCTCGCCTTGGATGGTTGCTACCACTTTTCTCGAGTGCTTTGATGCCCGAAATTCCAGATACCAAATTCCTTGCCAGGTGCCCGTGTTCAACGCGCCGTCACTGATGGGAATTGTGATACTTGCACCAATCAACGCCGATTTGATGTGTGCCTGGATGACTCGTCAGCGGATATGTTTCGACAGATTGGGATGCTTTGACAACTTTAGACATTCAAATTGGGAAGATTCGAAGACTCCAGACTCCTCAACAACTCGGGACTTTTCTACAACTCCAGACTTCAACTTACCGGCATATCATCCAAACCCTCGGCAGAATGTCTGTAAAGGTTTCCCTTCCGATCTTCTGGGGCGATGCGATCCAACGCATCACTCATATCTTCTCGGACATCACTATCCCAATTCTCATTCAACGACAGCGCGCACGACGTATGTTGGATGAAGAGGTTGAGCAGGCCGACCTTGTACTCTTTCAATTCCGGTAACGAGGAAACGACATGGTCGGTGATGAGGTAGGAGCCTCGAGACTTGGCCGGCAGAGTGAAGCTCTTCTGAAACCACGAGGAAGTAGACATGTTTCCGGCGGTCCAGCAGGAGCAGTGCAGGCTCGAGAGGGTGGCGAGGGAGATACACCCGGTGGGACAATCGATGAGGGGAGAAGGGTTGGTTGTCGATGTCGATGTCGATGTCGATTTCGCCGGAAAGATTACCCTGAAAGGCAGCGAGAGGAGGAATTGGGGCGCTCCAGGAAAGAAGGCGATGAGGAGAATAAAGACGCAGAAGACGGTGAAGTGTTGGGATTGAGTGATGCTGGTCGTAGGCATTTAATGGAAAATAATGTCGAGTGCAGTGGGTGAGTTGCGAGAAGACGCTTTCGAGAAACATCACCATCTGGGCTACGTCATTCTCACCCAACCCACAGTACTCGCCATATGCACAGCAGCCTTGCACTTCGAGTTGTGAGATGCTACCGTTACGGAGTTCTGTGGGCAATTATGGAAAGGCCTCTGATTAGTAGTCAATGTTGGGAGAGTAGTCTTGCATGCGCATCGGGGTTTTACAACTGATGTTGCTGGATACTATTCCTGGTGATCTGCCTATTCCTTCTCGTCTTGCGAGCGGCATCTTTGATCTCTCCAACAGGAATATTCAACCTTGTTTCCAACCAGTCGTGATATAGCCTCCTAGGCAAAGTATATACTACAAGGTTTGGACTGGTACTGTTGGTGCTGGTGTCACGGACTGCTGCAAATGCTACAGTTCACTCATTCAGTGGGCGGTCAGGCTGCGGGTGTGGTATCTTCTAAGAGAATCATTCACCAGTCTTGCTGTGTCTAGCTGCAGGACGCAGCAATTGCAATTCAATATCATGGATTATGCTCCCTTGCGTAGTTTAATCCACGGTGTACGGCCACAGCGCGAGGAACAACAACTCCTCCTGGACGAGACCGGCCGTCAGCCCCGCTGAACTGAATCGAAACCGGAATATGTACATTCAATATCTTTTGGGTCCGTCATCTCTGCTGCAACGGTTGATTGTCAACAGCCTCTGCCTCGTGCTCGCCCTTCAAGTGTGCATAATGACCCTGCACTTCACCCTTCATAGTAGGCGTGGTTGGCAGGTTGACCTCCGCAGCATCGCCTTTCGGTGCAAGAGGATACGAGGTCGACGGTAACGATTCGAGATGCTTCTTGTGCTCCTTTTTGGCCTGGAAAACTAAGGTCAGCTTCCTCTGAACGACACCTGTCGAGATCGAGGTCGAGGCCGTCTTACATATGGGAGCCCGCAGTATGTGCACCAACAAATCTCCGGCTTGTCCACGTTGATGAAGATCCTGGGATGGCCCAGCGGACCTCCACCACCATCGCAGGCAACGCTCCTCCCGTCGACCCATCGCACAGGTTGCTTGTGGATCAGATCAATCGCGGCGTACGGTTGCGGCTGTATTGCTGTCTTAGTACCGACTTCCCATCAACTCATCAAACGGAGGGCGCACCTGAAGTTCGAAGATAGTCTGTTCGAATCTGGGTCCTGTCATTGCAAGCTCCCTGGGCTGCTGGCTTCTTGACCATGGCTTTGCTCTGTTGGGGGCCTGCAGTTGTCTCTGTTGTTCCGCGGCTTCGGCCAGCTCTTGTAGTGGCGCGTCCTGGCTGCCCACTGCATCGACCGGTGTCTCATTCGTCTTGGAGACATTGGGAGTCAGCTTTCGTGGCGTGGGGTCATTGGCTTGCTCGAAGTTCTCGCCGGTTCCGGGGCCTTGTCGCAGGAGATGGGTGGAGGCGGATAGAGACCTCGAGGATGTTCGGAGCGCATATGCGGCAACCCTAGGGACCCGCGTCCGCACGGAAGACACTAGGGAGGCCATGGCGGGTGACTTGTGGTTGCTGGTTACTACGAGGTATTGGGAAATGTTGATGTTCGAGATGAGGTCCTGAAGCTCAGGCACGTCGGCCAATCGGGGAGGCTGAATTGAAATGTGAGAGAAGATCACGTGGTTTTAATACGGTGGAGCATACACTACGCTCCTGCATCTGTACAGCCTTGGGATCCGGATCTATGTCCGGAGTCCGGAGTACTTCGTATCAAACTTGGGTACCCAACGGAAAGCTCGAGATGACCCAGTTCTCTATACCGATGATGTTCTCTGGTCATACAAGCTCGATCCACGTTTCCTCAATCTCGCAGCCTGGCCGGGCAAGCATTTCTACTGCCTCTCCATGCATGAGATCTCTGATATAGCACTCTCCAATCAGTTCAAAAGCTGTCCCCTTCGGCCTGATGATGAATGGCACATCGCCCCCGTACAGGACGCAAACAAGGTCGTTTACAACCAAGGCCTCTGGTCCTACTCCGATCAAACCAGACCCTGTTGTGAACCGGGCACGTCTTACACAGGTCGTCGCCGTGGCGTCCAAGAAACGGTCGGCATTGCCACCCCGAGAAAGCTCCTCCAGCACTTCTAAGGTCACAATATCCGAAGATGACGTTGATGCTGAACCAATGCTAAGGTCGCCGGGTTTGATCCATCTGGGTGCCAATTCTTTGTCTGAATCGTCCGAACGGATGGTCTCCCAGTCGTTGCTGCTGTCTGCATATGATGATCCAAATGCCGTCATCTTGAGTGACCAGACAAGCCCTTCTTTCAGGAGGCACTTGGCAAAGTCCGCCAGGTGGATAGATAAATCCTGTACCGGGAGTCCGTACCAGTTTTTGCCGCCGGTAATGGTCATTGCAATACCTTCTATCTTCCTCTTCGTCAAGGAAGCCTCCTTTAGAATAGTTTCCAAACTCTCTACCACCCTATGGCGGCCCCAGAACTCGCTCGGGCGTTCACCTCGCCAGAAATCTCTGAAATTGGACCGCTCAAATGCTGAAATTCGATCCAATATTACTCCGCGAAGCGTGAGCTTAGTACTTTCAGCGCAGGATCGGACCTTCACAGGTTCTCGCGCCGAAGCGGCAAAGCTTGGATGCGGACTCAACAGGGCCAGAGTTTGGGCAAACACGACGTGCCATTGGGGTACCCACGATGGTGCGTTTTCGTCAAAATCTTGTTCTCGCGGCTGGTAGTAGTGGTCCCAGAAGCTGGTGTAATGTCGTTGAACGCTCGACAAGAGATTGAGAGACAGAGAATGACGGATGATCTCCTGAGCCAGCTCAATGTAGACCTCGGTGCTGGACTTGTTGTAGTCTGGAACAATATTTTTCGAAGCATTGTCGGTCATTGGTATGCCCAGGAGTCCGTATACTCGATCCCGATCGTCCTGACAGTCGAATTGCCGCGTCAGGCTGAGCAGCTGGGAAAGCGAGAAGCGCAAGGGAGTGAAATAGCGTTGAGACTCGGAGACCCGGTACATGAAGTATGCATTCAGCACACCGGTAGGCACGGCTCTGCTCTCGGCTTCATGTGCGCTCAGTGCGCTCGTTTCCCTTCTTAACCTCCCATAGTTTGTCCGGAGAATAGCTGCTGCCAGCCCGACCCACTCCCAAGCTATCTCGCAATCGCCCCAGGCCACCAGAGCTGAGCGAGCCACAGCGGCTTCTTGAATGACCCAGAGTCGATGGAACCAACGGCATCTGAACAGCGTCAGAACATCGCACCACTCAGACCAACTGGCTCGAAGAGGCTTGTCTATCTCGCTGTCAGACCTTTGGGTGGGTAGCTGCGGCGTACATTTTGCGATTGGAACTTGGTCCACGAGGCCAGCCAGCTTTCTCCAGGCATTGACAATACGGCATACGTCTGAGAATGCTCGGTGAGGTAGCCTAACTGTCGAGGGGGGCATGTTGTCTCCATTGTCGTTTGCTCCATTTTCCCCGAGCCAGATGTACACACGGTATGCAGACTTGAAGATCGAATTCATCAACGTGACCTGGTGGCTTCTCTCGACAAGGTCGGCCTGGTTGATACTGAGCGCATCGGCCCAGACCATCCTGGAGGCGGACTTCCTGCGCATCTTCTTCAGAGCACTGTAGAGGTTATGCCTGACCACTGTTCCAAACCCGTTACATATGATCAAATGAGTTCTGACTGTGTCCGAATACTCTGGAGTGCCACAATCCCAGGAGTACGAGAGAGCTTCAAATGTATCTTTTGCTTCTGCCAATGCTACCACATGTAACCGGCACTCGATCTGCTCGCAGTCACCTGGGACAATTTCGAGCAGTCTTATATGCTCATCTGAAGGTAGCGCTTGGTACAAGCCGATTGTCGCATCATTTCCTCCCATGCTTCTCTCTTGAAGAATCCCAGAAGAGTGGAGATAGGATGGTATCAATGGTAGCGATGCATCGCTGACATCTGGTCCTGGCTCTCGAACTGCCAGATTGGGTCTATTTGGCAGTAGATCCGGGAACGAGTCGCCGTCAGCAGTCAGTGCCGAGAGGTCACGGTCAACAAGATCTTGACCTTGCCCATAGAAATAGTAGTTCTCAACTGGAGGTTATCTTAGCAGGCCTGGAGAGCTTATGATGAGTGGGCCTGGTCGTACCGTTTCCCATGTACGTGATAAGCTGCTCTACAGGTTGCTCCTCCCAGCGACGGTCGGGGCCAATCCAAAAGTCATCATCATCGATGTCACCCGGCCCATCTGGGGGCGCATGTTCAAATTTCTGTGCTTCTTCGTATTCTCGGTCCCGGAGCTTGCTGCCACAGTTGCTCATCATCGTGCAAGGGCTCTGAGAGCCAGTGGTAGTGAGAGAAGGGGCTCCTACCAGGAAAGGCAAGATCGTAGGTTAGGATACTCGGTAGTCGACACCAAGATCTTCAAGATTTTCCGGCTTCATCGGTAGAGTAGTTGTGAATGTTTGTAGAGGCCGGACTCAGCCTTCCCCGCCTCGCAGTATGCCTTGTCCGACGAGACCCCTGTAACATTTACACAGCCACCGTTTTGGCCCCAGACTTACCGCATACAAATTACCTTGAGCAGGATTTTCGAAATCCAAGTTGAAATTTGAAGGCCGTTGCATGTTCATATTCGGCACATGGGCACCAATCATGAGAGCCAAGCAGCGCAGAGAGCAGAGAACAGACAAGAAATGGTCCTACGCCGAGGAATTTAATGCTTGGCCGTATGGATTCGTTGAAACACTGTCCGTAACAGGGTCTCCTTTCCCTTCGCAACTTCCATACTTATCGGACGTTCGATAGCGGGCGATGATGATTGCAACCATGGAATCTGCAGCTCAGAAATGTGATATGAGTCACTCATTCTGGAGAGATTCGTTGAAAGGTAGAAGGGGAGTTTGTCGCAGTCGTGGAAACTTCCGTTTCATCGCCTAAGGGGCTGTGTTTTCGTTCGTTTGTTCGCGTGCTGTCATTCTGATCGGCCATCGGTACACAGTCGACTTTCAAGCACATGCATGGGTACTCTGTGCCGAACCAGTCACAAAAAGCGACGATTCTCAGCCGCGGAAACCTTCATCCTGCGCCAGAATGGTGGTGGCAGGGCACGCCAATGGGACAACCCTAACTCTCCATAGGTTGAGGGAGTAGGCAAGTGTCCTCCGGTTCTGGAGGCGTACTCGATTAATTGACCGGCTGTGCGCCCTCAATCGCGAGTAGTGCACAGGCTTAAGCTTGAGGTCAGACATCTCTTCGTGGCCGCTGAGCTCATAACCTTCGAAATCTGGACGGGATGACTATAGGTGATGAGTGAAAACCATTCAACCGTGGGGGTAAGCGCATTTAGGATATTGGAAGAGAACCTGACCATCCCGATCTAAGCGGGGCGCTACCTCAAGCCACAGCACCCATGAACGATACATTATTGAAACTCAGCCATGCTCTCAGACGCATCGGGCGAACGATTTCAATCTTAGACAACTTGATGCTATAGGGTTAGGGTTAGGGTTATGGAGTGTGTTGCTCTTGCTTACCTAAACCTGTATCTAACGCTGAACTTAGGGCGGCGTCACCCCCGTCCCAAAGGATAGTTGACCACACTTGGCATTAGAGAGCAGGCACGCGGCTACCGCGTAACACTCACAGTGGCAGTGGTAGAGCGATCGAAGCATCTCCAACCTCTCTCGCCATAATAATAGGTAGTTCTCACCAACACAAACACCACCCATCACAGCGGCCGACCGAGGATATCTCTTGCATCGTCCTTAATTGTGTGGCACTGAGTGGTTTCAATCATGGCTTCAGGTTACGACCGTGCACTATCAGGCAAGTTAACCCAGACACCGCAGTCTTCTCCAACCATAGCTAACTCGGCGCAGTCTTCAGGTACTACACATACACGGCCAACAGGCGGACCCTGTTCAAGTTACTCTGACTAACAATTACGCATGACAGTCCTGACGGCCACGTCTTTCAAGTCGAATATGCTCTCGAAGCAGTCAAACGAGGGACTTGTGCGGTCGGCGTCAAGGGGAAGGACATTGTAGTGTTGGGATGTGAAAAGAAATCGGCCATGAAGCTCCAAGACACGCGAATCACACCGTCCAAAATCGGCCTGGTCGACCGTCACGTATGCCTTGCCTTTGCCGGCCTCAACGCCGATGCTCGCATATTGGTCGACAAGGCCAGGGTGGAGGCTCAGTCGCATCGACTCACGGTGGAGGATCCCGTCACAATTGAATACATCACCAAATATATCGCCGGCGTGCAGCAAAGATATACCCAAAGTGGCGGCGTGAGACCGTTCGGTATCAGCACTCTCATCATTGGATTCGACAAGGGCAGCCAGGAGCCGAAGCTGTATCAGACAGAGCCTTCGGGCATCTACTCTGCATGGTAGGACCTTCTACTTTCTACTGGGTTACAGGGGGCGCGTGGTTGTGGTCGAGACTGACTTGAACTAGGAAAGCAAACGCCATTGGAAGATCTAGCAAGACGGTGCGAGAGTTCCTCGAACGCCACCACAAGGATGACATGGATCGGGAAACCACCATTTCCTTGACGGTCAAATCACTTTTGGAGGTGGTGCAAACGGGGGCCAAGAACATCGAGATTGCCATCATGGCGCCGGGAAAGGCGATTGAAATGCTCCCGGCCGAGCAAATCGAGCAATACGTCAAAACTATCGAGGCCGAAAAGCAGGAAGAACAAGCCAGGAAGAAGCCAGGAAGAGGGGGCGCCTCGGGTACAGCATCACTGCCGACGCGACCACTAGCTGAAGGCGAGGGCGAAGGTAGTGGAGATATCTGAGCATTCGACACCCTTTAACTTGTCGTCTGCATTAGCATTAGCGACCGGAGTTTAGGTGGTGAATAAATCGACATGGGGACTCCATTCAGTTCTGTTCCATGATTTTTATTTTTGTTATTGGTCGTACTCGCACACAGATTACATTGCGTAGTTTGGTGGGTTGAAACCCCACGCCACGCCCGACAGCAACAGCGACAGCGCGTCATCAATTGATTGAATAGAACAATGTGGGCGCTCAGACCCGTCCAGTAGAAGAACACCGACTGTGTGTGTGTGTGTGTGTGTGTGTGTGTGTGTGTGTGTGTGTGTGTGTGTGTGTGTGTTTGTGTGTGTCTCGTGGTCGGGTTACCAGGGTCTCGTCGACACAACTCAACCTCGGTAGACTCGGTTTTGGCCTCAGGGTGATCTTATCTCCATTCAATTCAACCCAGCTTGCCCGTCCAGTCCTTGATGTCGAATATCGACTGCTTCTCGGGCTGTGCGACGCGGTCATCCTTGAGCATTCTGCATGCACACGCAGCGCTTGATTAGTAGGTGTTTCGGTACTTGGTTCTTGGTTCTTGGTTCTTGGTTCTTGGTTCTTGTTGGGTTTCTTGGTCTTGGTCTTGGTCTTGGTCTCGCATTCGCTCTCGCTTCGTGTTTGTGGGATTGGGATTGGGATTGGGGGTTTATAAACGGGATGGTATGGTATGGTATAGTAGGCAGCCAGCCAGCCAGCTTAGCTTAAGGTAGGTAGGTAGCTTACCGGGCATCCACGCGGACATCATCGCTCTCCACCTTCAAGGCGGCCTTGGGCGTTGCGGCCTCGATGACGAAGTGATTGTCGCAGTTGGGGCAGTACTCGTCACTGGATGGTAGTCAATCATCAGTATTCAGTATAGTATTCATGGCATGTATTCAATACAATGTATTGGTCAAGTCAAGAAAGTTAATCAATTAGTTAGACGGGTATCTCTCCAAGACCTTAGTCGATCGAGGAGAGATCCCGAGAGTCTTGGATAGATAGGGTGAGTGAGAGAAAGAGAGGGAGAGGGGGAGAGAGACGGAGAGGGAGAGAGGGGGGAGAAGGGGGCGTAGTAGATTTCGTGATCTCTAACTTGGGGGATAGTATCGGAGGAAAAGAGTAGTCACAAGATTCTCGATAGCGAAGGGAAAGGAGGGAAGGGAAGGGAGGGAAGGAAAAGGATTGATAGTCTCAAACAACACGGCAATCTGGTGCCTCATGCTCACCTCTCGTCCCAATCCTTCGTGTTCTTCCGGAATGCCTTTCTGCACTTTTTGCAGATGAACGTCTGCGCCAGCCGCGGCTTGTCAGCAAGGTAGCCAAAGCGTCAAATATCAAACATCAAACATCAGAATTCAAATGTCAAACTTCAAACTTCAACATGGTTGCTTGAACCCTCGCCCTCGCCTTGGCCCTCTCATAGATGTCTGGCTGCTGGGACTTTGGTTCTGCAGGTCCATATCCATATCCATACCCATAACCATGTCCAAGTCCATGGCTGGGTTGGGCTGGGTTTGGTTTCGGGTTCGGGTTCATCTCAGCTTCTGGGTTGGGTTGGGATGTGTTCGGGTACGGGCATCTCAGCCTCTACGTAGGGGTGGTCAGGCTTACCATGTCGAAACTCTGCATGAGAGGATGATCTTCCTGCTCGGCATGACACTCTGCACAGTCGAACCATTTCCGACCTGTTCAACGATGGTGATCCACGCAGTTAGCCAAGCGCAATAAATGTAAAGCATAGAATGTAGGACGAGAATCGAGACGCCAGAACCCTGAACCGTCGTGGGCGTGGCGTGGGCGTGGGTAGGAGTAGAGAGCCAGATAGCCAAAAAGCCAGAACCCTGAACCGTCGTGGGCGTGGACATAGGCTTGGCCACGGGTAGAAGTAGATAGGAATAGGGAGCCGAGTAGATAGGAATAGGGGCCCGAGTAGATAGGAGTAAGCAGCCAGATAACCAGAAACACAGGTAGACAGATAGGAGGCTAAAATCTTACAGCAGGGTGATCGTATCGACACTTGGGCATTCAGAATATGTTTACTGGTTCGATGGTTGGAAAGTCAGCATTCTCATTCTCATTCCGATTCGATTCCGATTCCCAATCCAGTTCCAATTCAAGTTCTGTGCTGAAGGGGGGCCGCTGAGCATTCAAGGCAGTGGGATAGGACAGGATAGAACAGGACAGGACAGGACAGGAAGGACAGGACAGGAAGGGGTACGTATAACTTACCACATGTTGGATCGGATCGGATTTGATTTGATTTGATGGGATTTAGTTCAGTGTTAGAACCACGGCGACGCCAAAATGATGGGGTCCGTGGTTTGTCTTGCCAGGCCACACCCTCTCTTCTCTTCACTGCACTGCACTGCGGTCCTTGCTCGTTCGTAGCTCAGACCGGGCGTTCAACGGATTTGATGCTGGAAAGAGACTCGAGGTCGGTGACAGACAATATCTTAGATATAGGCGAGGGACTCAGGGAGGATTTCTACGCGTCGAGAACCCTGGTGATATTGGTGGTAGTGTCCGTACCTCTGAGAGTACAGAGTAATTAATCTACTTCGTGCTTGGTCGTTCGTTCAAGTCAGGAGTTGTGGTTTTATATCGAGTGAGTCATGGAACCGATCACGTGTTTGTAAAATGACTCGTGTACGACAGTAGTCCCTGTACAGAGAGGTAGAGGTATTCAACGAAATTACGGAGTACATAAAATACCTAGATCGGATTCCTTCATTATGGTCATAACTATGGCTATTTGTATTTCTATTTCATTGATATTTCCCGTATATGGCTGTAGGCTAGGCGGTTCTGTGGCCAACCAAGTCTCTGCTAGAAACTCATGTCGAAACTCGGCCGTCTCTCCGAATCGCGCGCCCTCGCTCTGACTATCGTTCTGGCCGACGACCCGGTCGCGCGGGAGCTCCGGTTCGTGGCTGTACGGTGAAGGGACGACATGGTCCGTGTGACTCCCAGAGAACCCCCGTCCGTCTGATCTTCAGCCTCATCGTCCACGTCATCGTCCCTGTCTCCGGATTCGTCGTCGTCGCGGTCACTGTCTTCACTGTCCTCGTCTTCAGCCTCGTCAACATAAACGAGACCTTCTTCCTCGATAGGCGCAAACAGGCCGCCCGGGGTTTGTCTGTCGACGTCTTCTTGTCTCTGAAGCCCCGGCAGACGGATGGGCCATACAAGACAGATGGCCAGCAAAGTGAAGACAATGCCCGCGCTGAAGGTCAGACGCAGACTCCGCGCGTAGGCATCGATCACCTGTCCCTTATGCAAGGGGTCTAAGGTCGAGATGGACCGAACCGACTCGCGCACTGTGCGGATGATTTCTTCCTTGGTCGCCTCGTCCGCGGCCGTGACGGTGCGGTGGAGGTAGACGAGCAGTGCGTTCTGCAGGATCCAGCTGCTGATGGCGACGCCCATGATGGAACCCATGTTGCGTAACAGACCTAGCGACGTCGTCACCACGGCCTGCTCATCCTGGGCATGCAGCGCGAGAACGGCAATGATGGTGGCCGGGAAGAAGAAGCCTTGTCCAATGGAGCAAAACGGAATGAGAAGGGGAACCGACCACATGGGCGTGTCGGCCCTGAGGCATGCCACCAGAATGGAGCCGGCGAGCATGAAAAACGTCCCCACCGTCATGGGCGGCTTCATTCGGCGCGTGGCGGTGATGTAAAAGCCCACCAGGACCGCCGTGACGCTGACACCGATCAGAGGCGAGACCAAAAACAGACCGGATGCGGTGGGCGACGTTTGCCGGACCGCCTGCAGGTACAGCGGAACATTGAAGAGAATGGTATTGGAGGCGATGGCGCCAAAGAAGTTGGACCACATGAGGTTCCCCGTGGGGACAGTCATGACGAGCTTCAATGGGAGGATGGGCAATGGGGCTTTTCGTTCGACGAGAAACAAAGAGACCGCTGCGACGGCGGACAGAACCAAGCTGCTCACCACTAGGGGGTGGCCCCAGGTAAAGACGTTGCCGCCGAGGTTGACCCCGAGGATTATGCAGGCGACTGTCACGGACAGGGCGATGGCTCCGAGAGTGTCGAAGTTTTGGAATGCCTGCCGGATGGTCTTGCCCTGAGTTCGGGAGAGATTAGGTCCCAGGTCGTCCGGACATGACCAGAAGGCGAGCAAGCCGAAGATAAAGATAAATGGAAGCTGCAAGTAGAAGGCTGCACGCCAGCCAAAGTGATCGCAGAGAAACCCGCCCAATGCTGCACCGAGTCCGTTTCCCACACCGTACGCCTAGATTAAAGGTCTATGTTTAGTGATGGGAGAATAGCGGGGACGGTGATGTCGACCTGGACAAAAAGAACAGCGGCGCAATGGGAGTGCGTGGG